TGTATTACACACGTTGCATCACACATGTAATTAAGCATAAAAAGGATTTGAGGCACAGTGTAAAAATGGAAGTGTTTTTGTTTTGGTTCATTTCCATCGTCTTTCTTAGTCTGTGTTTACAGTTTTGTCGAGTCAGTAGTGAATGTAAGAAGACGTGCCAGGAACAAGTGTGCAGAGCCCTTAATGGCTGATCATAAAACTCTTTAGATTCCTGACTTTTTATGGGAAATGGTGGAAAGCAGTAGGACTTTAAAGGGCCTTCTTTTCACAGCTTTGGTTAACTAGAGGTGGGCTTCAGTGGAACAAAGACTATTTTTCCACTTTTTCCTCTGCTTTGCAAGCTTGAAAACAGCATGGGGCATTCAACAGCAACTGAGAATCACAAAGAAACTAGTTTTCTCCTCTCTGAATGCACCAGGATCACACGAAACTCTGCACATTATTTTTTAAATAATTGTCGATGATCTCAGTTTTCATTAAAGTTAGCACTTAGTGTGGCTGTGAAGAAGATTAGAAATATGCCAATGATCATATGACTTGAACAATATCCTGGCAAGCTTAAATTACCTGGTTGCTTCGGTTCAAAGCAGCCTGTGCCTGTCTTGTGAATGTATGCAGGTCTTCAACCTGTTGGGAGATATCTCCAACTACATCTACCCCCACATTCCTCGAATTTCATGCGCGCACACACACACACACACACACACACACACACACACACACACACACACACACAAATACACACATACTGCAACACTCTTCAGCAGGGAGTAGAATGTAGAGACACCAAGAAGCCGTCTTTTCACCTCCGACCTCTTTCCCCTGACCTTCCGTGGGTTATGGATTGGAGCCACGTTAGGTGGTGTTTTCTGGTGTCATGGGGTTTCAGCTTCAGTCCAGCTCAAGTATGGAAAACATGGCAATGTTGAAATCCCACTGTCAATTTCTGACCCTCTTTCTTTATCCACCAAGCTGTGTCAGAGCTCTCACATTACCCTCACCGATACTCTTTACCACAGATGTTAAATGTTATTTAAGTGAATGAATGTTTTTCCGTCCCTGTCAGCATTTAGCCTCACTATTAGCTGGATTTTTAGTGGAATTCCCTGACCTTAAGTTTCGAACAAACTGAGGTTTAGGGTAAATGCAAACAGCTGGTTTGAGCATGCACACTATATGCACAGTAGGTGTTCCTAGGTTGTGTATCACCTAAACTCACGTTTTATATTCCATCACTGGTCACTAAATTACATTTGGTAATTAATAACAGTGTGGAAAAAATGGAGTAACGGCTAATTGAAACAGCAAGTTTTTCTAATAGGCTTTTGTTCTGAGGTGCTGTTGAGCCTGCAGATGCCTGGCAGTGACCCGACAGGCTTTGATCAACGGGTTCACATTGGCTTACCCATAATGCTTCAGTGTAGCTGGGATTAGGGTTGTCAGAAGTTGTTACGATAACCTTTGTGTGATCGGCTGGAACATGCTCACTTAGTCTAGCCCTGCGCCACAGACCGTGTGTGTGTGTGTGTGTCCCAAACTTGGCACGGCTGAGCTAGGTCTAGAAAGCTTAGACACCTGATAGTTAATTCTTAGCTTCTTTGAAGTAATTAGTGATCTTTATAAAATTGGATTTGGTTTCATTTGCATCTTAAATAACAGAGTAATTTTCTTGCATTATAGGATAATGCAAAATGTGCACCAGTAACAGAGAACATAATGTGCAACTTTGCAATGGAAAAAAACCCTTTTCAGGTTGATGAATGCCCAGCCCTGCAGACAGACATAGACAGACAGGGTTTTGCTGCCACAGCCTGGTTCTATGACTCGACATTTTAATTTGTTTGGCATCTCTAAATACTGTAATCCCATGATGCTCCAGTGGTTTTACTGACCAAGGGAATATGCAGTAGCTTCAGTTGTTATAGAAGGCATACTGCACATAATGGCTGCAAATAATTATTTTCATCATCAGTTCATCTTAACTGATCAATCATTTGGGGGAAAAAAGGCCAATCACAATTACCTAGAGCCCAAGGTGACATCTTCAACCACCAAAAACCACCAAAGATGTTCGATTAACCATTATTAAAGACAAAGAAAAGCAACACATTCTCACATTTGGAGGAAGTGAATGTTTGACATTTTTAATTGAAATTGGATTCAAATGATTCATTGATTACCAAAATAGTTGTTGATTAATTTTATCTTTTGAATATTTGATTCACTAATTGTTTAGCTCTTGTGCACTTCAAGGTAATATGTGTAGTATCACGCTCCCCTGAAATATGAGATGACTTCAGGGTTTTCTGGACGTGAACCTGCTCCACCTGAGGTTATTGTCGTCTGAAAGCCTTCCTTCTTTCTTACTTGGCTCGCATTCACATTCTTCCGCAAAATATGTGGCATTAATTATATAGATAGGTTTACATAGACTCTTTAAGATATATTTATTCTGGTGGATTGTAACAAATATGTGTCCTTATTTAGCCAATGCTCAACTTTACTTCAATCTTGCCTCTTCAGCTGTTGCCCTAAGATATATCAAATGCACCACCATCCACATCTTTGCATCTGTAGCTTTCTTTCAACAAATTACAGCAGCATGGGCTTCTTATGGGATTTTGCAAAACAGCTGTGAGACATTACACACAGAAAGCATAATTATAGTTGTATCCATAGGATTTCTGACTGAAAGATCGTCTGTTCTACTAAAGATACTGGTGATGTGGTGGGCTGTGTGGTGTGCCGTTGGTTTCAGTGAGGTGAGGGTGTGGAAGGAGGAGGGTGTTGCACCATAGACCTTTAATGAGACTTTCCCTTCCAATATGGTTCCCATCAGGCAGACTTGCACTTGTGGCTGAAATTCCAGCGCTGCAGCAAAAAGCCTTGTCTGGATTCAATCAAATCAACTTCTGCCACGACATGCATAGAAAACTAAGAATACCATGCACTATAAGTTTGATGATACTCAGACGCTTTTGCAAAAAAAACATAAAGAATTGTTTAAAAAAAAAAAAAAAAAGATTTTAAAGCAGCAAAAGTTGATAAGAGGCATTTTCAAAGCCATTTCTTTATCAGGTATTATGTGTTTTTGGCACAGCAGTTTGGCTCGAGTCTGTGAGCACTTGACAACATTATTTCATGCTGTTCCAAGAGACGTCAATCTACTATTTCACTAACACTCATTTATCATTCTTGTTTTTGTCATGTTCCTCATTTTCCTCAATTTAGTCATTGCCAGATCCGTATGTGCACTGTGGTCGGTGTCACTGCCAACCCCCACAAGCTGCTTCTTTTCACCTGACGGCGACATTGAAGCACATACCAAAATTCACACCATTTCCCCCAGATTCACTCCATTTCTTCTCTAACGCTGTAACAAAACATGCTCCTGCTTAGTCAACATTCTGCTCAGGACGGGCAAGAGGAGGTATTGGAGGAAGACATTTATTATTGAGTCAGCATTGCATAGGGAGTTGTATGGCAGACGTCCGCACTCCTCCGAGGCTGGGGGGACGACTGGCCAGCTGGCTCTGCTCAGAGACTCCGTGTTTGTTTTAGTGTTCTCTCCTTCCACAGTGTACTTTGAAGATGGGACCCTAAATTACAGTGTGCTCACCCATAGACACCCCCCCCCCACACACACACACACACACACACACACACACACACAATAATTTTATAAAGCAGGTGTCCCACACAGTAGGGCAAAGATGACTCATCGCTGTTACCATGGAAGTGCAGGATGCTCCCGCCTGGGGACCCTCACTTCCTGTCACATCAGGCTTTGCTGTGTCCAGATTTCCTGTCTGCCTGAGAAGGGAAGATTAGAGAGCTATCAAGTTTTTTTGTGTGTATTTTTTTTTTTGTTGTTTGTTTTTAACAAGGAGCACACATATGTGACTGTTACTTTGCCAGAAACACAACTCAATTAGCACATTTAGTCAGGTTTTCTTAGGTGACATCTTATTTCACCTTACTTCATTCCACTCTTCGCTAAGCCTCAATCCACCCTCCTTTATTTTATCTGAGCGAGTGCATGAGCATGTTTGTCAGCGGATATGTTGTTATGAAGAAGTCTCTCTCTTACTGCGAGGGTGATCTAGTCCTCCCATGAAGGTTTTCATTGTTTCACTGATTGCTCTAAATCTCTGGTTGGAAACATCATGCTTTAACTGAGATTACCACACTGATCTTCCCTCACAGCTCATTCTTTCCACAATGTATTGTCTTGTCTTCTTTTGAGTTCACTCTCAGGTTAAGCTAGAGGAGCGCTGAATACTTTTTCCAGTAGTATAACTGAAAGAACAATCGGTATTTCTCTATCTGTCAAGTTTTGTTTGTACTGAGGATAGTACATATATGTGCCTTTGTATCTGAGTGCAGAAATGCACACTGGGAATCCCTACAGCTGCCTGGTAGCAGAAGGGTGGGTCACCTCTGTCAGCACAGACAGGAATGCTCTGCACACTCAGCATTTTATCCCAACATGCACACACACAGGGCGTCTCAGTAGTAGGAGTATGTGAATATAGTTGACATGCTCACATGTCATTTTTCATACATAGTTGGACTCATCATTCTAAAAGGGACACAGTTAAGCACTAAACCAGCAACTACTCAAGTCTTGTTTATGGCTCCAGTAATAAAAACTGTGTTAATGTCACATGTGGAATAAAATCTGTTTAAATGATTAACAGGTCTCTTGCAGGAAAATTCTTTTCAAGCACATCTGTGCATAGTTTGAAGAAAGGTTCTCGAGCCTGAGAGGCAGGTGGTTTGATTTAAAGGTGTGTTCATGAGTACAGGTTTTGTAGTTCTAGTATGGAAACTTTTCTGTTGTCAGTTTATTTTAACTTTCCATATCCTACTCTCTCAAACTACTCGGGTATTAGGGTTAGACTAGAAAGACTGTTTTCAACCTGTGCTGCATATTAATAATAATGAAACCTGTGCACTCATTGCTTTCTGTTTCTCTGTCTCCTTTCGTTTCTTTGCAGAGGAGGCCGACTATGCTAACTTTGGCATGAACACAATAACACGCAAGAAGAAGGCAGTGGTCGCACTGCGCAACAACGACGTCAACCGCAAGCGGCCACAGATCCGCATTGGCATGCCTCAGGACTTCCGCCCCGTCTCCTCCATCATTGACGTGGATATCTTACCTGAATCTCACCGTCGTGTCCGTCTGTATCGTCACGGCTCAGACAAACCCTTGGGTTTTTACATCCGAGATGGAACCAGCGTACGGGTGACACCACATGGGCTGGAGAAAGTCCCCGGCATCTTCATATCCCGGCTGGTGCCTGGAGGGTTGGCAGAAAGCACCGGACTGCTGGCAGTTAACGATGAGGTCCTGGAGGTAAACGGCATCGAAGTGACTGGAAAGTCCTTGGATCAGGTAACCGATATGATGATCGCCAACAGCCACAACCTGATCGTGACGGTCAAGCCGGTGAACCAGCGCAACAACGTGGTCCGCAGCAGCAGGATCTCAGGCAGCTCAGGTCAGTCATCTGATAGCAGCGGATCGACTGGTTACCCAAGTTTGTCTGTGGCCTCAGTGGGAGTGATGTCCTCTGGAGCACATGGGTACCAAGACGACCTGGAGAGTGACGAAGAGGCAGATATCGTCATTGAAAACAGCCTCAAGCGGCCGTCTCAGAGGTCCAATGCTTCCCTGGCGTCCAGTGTTTCTCGCACACATCAGCAGCCACCAACAACATTGTCAGGCCCGGCAGCACCTCCCAGCCCCCCCACACGTCCTTCATCGGTAGTCTCAACTGCCTCCTTCCACACCCAGCCGAGCCTTAACGGAGGGTCCCACCACCACCACCAACACCACCAACACCACCACCACCAACAACAACACAGCAGCCTCAGCTACCAGCTCCACAGAGACCTGAACCTTCAGCACCAACAGTCCCAGCACAGTCACCACCACGTACAGCCTCCGCATCACAGTAGTAACCCAGCCCTCCGCCACAGCAACGGCAGCCTGCACAAAATCCTCAGCTCTCTGAAAACGGACCCACGAAACAGTCTTGCGCTGCCCAGGGGAGGGGTGGAGGAGGATGGCACCGTCATTACCCTATAATACTGATAAACACACACTCAGAGACATAAACATCCCAAACTGCTCAGAGACTTAAACTGGAACAGCAGGCCGGATACATATGAGCGCAAGTGAGTTTTGTCAGATACTAATTTTGTAACTTCTGTTTGTTTTTTTTACAAGATAATTGATAAGAAGAAGTTACAAAACCAGGAAACAAGGAAAATGTATTGTATATATTTCTTGTATTTTTAAAGTTGTTTTTGTCTTACATGAAAAGATTTGTACGTATGTATGTAATAAGCATCAGAACAAATAACTGTTTTTAGGCGAGTCCACTGTATCCTAGAGTTCTGAATGTGCCTACAGCCGATATCTTCTGTTAGTGACCACTTTTATTAAGATCCTTTCATTCTTATTACTGGGACCAACTTGGGGTTGCTTATGGATGTTTTTAAAGAGTAAATCTATATTTCTTATATTCTGATAAATGCTGTGTAGAGTATGATTTTTTTTTAATAGTTCTTTTATGCATTGATGATTGTGATCAAAACCTTGTATCTGTTCCAATAAATTATTCTGTCTCACAACTTTGCAAACAAGACATGTGATGATTTGGTCCACCATATAGGGGCTACACGTAGATGGGTTTTGTTACTGTATATGTCCACATTTTAGTTTTTTACAACAGAAAATAGTCAGTGATGTATCATGACTTGTAAAGGACACTTGAGTCAAAAAATATTCTATTTATCTCAGTTTATTCTCAATTCAGTTCCCCAGTTCCTTCACAGTTGTTGGTGCTTAAATTTGCTGTAATTTCATTTGTTTCACCAAACTTTTGTGGCAAAGAAAAATGTTGTCTACTAAACATGCAGTGGATGCAGCTTTAATTCAATATTAATTTGCCCAGTTTAGCTTGACTGGGTTTTAGAGGGAAACCTATCTAAAACAACACATTACATCTACTTTAGGTTTCAGACCCTCAGGAGCAAATTCAGAAGCTCTTTTCTAGACTCACTGCTAAATCAACAGAACAAATAATCATGGCTGTGACTGATCCCTCATGTCTTCACCAACAGCAGCATCTGGAGACCTGAAACGCATAACCATAAAAAGTGTGACTTTGTTTTGGTTTTTTGGGGTTTTTTTTTTTATTACTGGCTGTGCTATTACCATTCTGCAGCTAAAGCAAAAGATATTTTCACCTCAGTACTTACAGCAAACTAGGTAAAACCACACTGATTACTTACAATGTGATGATTCTAAGATGACAAACAAGTGTGCTACAAGAGCATTTTCATTGTCACTTTAACTTCACCCCAAACATGCAAATCTGCATCTTAATGCAACATGATCATGCCATTTGGAGGCAATAATCAGGTTGAGTGGAAGTGGGTAAGACACAAAGATCAAGTTTCAACACACAAATGATTTTCTGTAGACATCACAAGGTGAAAACAATAGTGTTTGAAGGTCAGATTTCCCCTTTCCAGACAACCATTCTTTATCATCCTCCAGCTGTTGGATAGAGCCAATATATCTGACCTGGACATGCAGAAGGAATGCAGCATTGTCCTGAGTCAGAGGCCTTCCAGCAGCAACAAGCTCCTTTCACCTCTCTGCTAATGAATGTGTGTCTGTTGTGTTTACTCAGCATGCCACACACCTCAAACAGCTAACAGATCATTGACACCCAGCTGGTCTACTTTGATTGTAGTATGCACTGCTAAGCAGCAGATTGTAGGATTAAAGGGGGACCCCAAATCCTGACAGTCACACAATCGATCTTTGCTATCAGTGACTTAACACTGAACTCTCAAACATGAGGCTGCTTAGTGATGATCATTTTGCAATTCAGGCATTAATAGACTGATTAACACTGACAAAGTCTTGGTAGATCTATCAAATTAAAATTAACTGTATAAAACAGTGGAAAATTTAAAGTGGAAAAAATACTCCAGCAGCCCAGCCATTTAATTCCACCAATGTGATTCTTATACCTGCCCATGTCTAAATGCATGTAATGTAATTCATTCTATTAGATATTTTGTATGTTATAGTTTTTGCATCAGACCTGTGCAGACAACTGAAGTCCATTGCCATGCAGTAATTCTGTCTGCCATCTGCTGGCCAAGATTACAATGACAGTATGTCATGAAATGTCCAATGCGCGGAATGAAAATTAGTCTCACGCAATATTCACGTTTGCCTTGTATAATTGATTGGACAACAATTTCTCAGCACGAGTCATTAATGGTTGTGAGTTGAATGTGTAAAAATACCGTCTGTAATAGTGACATGAAAACACTTTCCAAACTATCAGACACATCACCACCATTTTGTGCCTCTCCTGTTTCAAAAGTAATGTTAGCAGATTATTAGTATGATGTCTTTTGACATACTAATAAACGACGTTTCAGTCAAATTCACGGTCCATATATTACATGGTTTTGTCTTTCACTTTTGATGTGCTTCCCTATTGCATATTTATATCGCAGTACTTGTGATTATCTTTCTTTGTTTGATTTGCTCAGGGTTTATAAGCGTGTCTTTTGTTTTTTACTTCAAATCTACGTGTACCTGAAATATACATTACAGTCTACAGTGGTCAATAAGTACAAAGTTTTTCAACGCTTTATTGTACGGTACACTGTTTTTGACTCTTACGAGCCACCGTCGGCTGCACAACACACGTGATCTAGTCAGTCAGTTGACAGGGCAAAACACGGCAGGAGACCCGAGAAAGAGAGGAGACATGGACCATCATCAGATTGACAGGGTGGGCCTCTTGTCTCCCCTGGAGGAGTCCAGTGCCGAAATAAGCAGAGACAGCGGCATCGTCTCCCAAAGTGCGAGCAGTTTGTCCATGGTGAGCGAAATCCTCAGCAGCGGCACGGTGTCGCAGAGCCCCAGCTTCGGCGCGGTAGCTAACGTTATCCCTCAAAGCCCAAGCCTCAACGAAGCAGCAGAGCCCGGGACGACCGACCAGCACGACTCGGAGCAGGACGACGAGGTCCTGAGACACACCGCCCTCAGCTACTCCAATTACATCAGAGCGACAGCTGGAGAAGAGGTTTGTGCTGTTGGTTTTTACACAAAAGAGACAGTCACCAGGTCATGTGCGGACTAATTAGCTACTTCACGTTAGCTCTTTGTGGTATCACTTTCTGAAAAGGCGACAGATTGTTTGTAAACTGTAATTAATAGAATTATCAGTGTTAATAAATCATTCCTAATCTTTTATAGATAAGCTGTAAGCAACTAGATAAGAACAGCTTTTGGGTTGCTAGATTGTGGAAAACCCTCCTCCAGCATGACACTTTGTTTTCGTAGCTCTTTAATTCGTTGGTGAGACCCCTCCAACGGGCTGTTCGATCACCTCCCCTCTGGAAAAGGGCTGAAGGACATTTGGACCAAAATCCATTTATAAAGTGCTTATTTACATTTGCACATGCAGACTTGATGGACTGTTGAACCCACAATTCATAATTGCAGGTGCCTGACTAACACGTTCAAATGGCGGGGGGGAAACCCAAGACCCTGTATTGCCTTGTATAATTGATTGGACAACAATGCCTAACTAACATTTTAACTGCAAACCCAATGACTTATTAGCTTGATTTTTACCAACATTTATAACTTCATTATAACTAAATAGATACACACAGCTATGTTATTACCTGAACATGTGATATGAATACAGCACACTGTACACACACACACACAAGAGTTTTTATTCGAGAATGGGAACTTCTGAACTTGAATGTAATAAAATCTGCTCTTATTATCAACGTTTCACATCTGCTGTATTGTTCTCACTACATTTGTACACTAAGTTTTACATTCAGATCAACAGTAGTCAAATTCAGTGAATGAGTCGATCAATGCCTATAGTATCATGAGTCCTTAAAGAGTCTTCCCATCTTTATAGAATTACAACAATACATTTCTGGAGTACTCTTTGAAATGTTTTTATTACTTTAAAACAAACTCTATAGTATTTCAGGCAAAATTATTATTTGATAAGCCAAATGTTTTGCATGTTTCCTTTCATTTTTGAAGAACTAATCGCGTTTGAGATGTCGTCTTTCGTCTTCCTGTTAATATAATGCGATGAGGTGCAATCAGATTGATTCAAAGTACAGTATATCCATTGTCAGAAAAATGAAGGGTCCACTGCACACTGACTGTTTAAAGTTATTTCTTATCTTTCTCAAGTCATTCCAGGCTTAAGTTCAAGTGAAGTCACAAATAATTGTCGTTAAAGTCAAATCTGAGTTGTCAGATTTCTCTCCCGAGACCGATTTGAAACCAGGCCATGTGACTTGTGTCCACACTTCTTTTTTTCTGGCCCTATAGTCAAATAAAACTTGTTTATAATATCACACACTTAAACAGTCTGAGCCCACAGACTTTGTCAACTCCAAAAAGTGTCAGTTGTCTTCAGCTTAAGGAGAGGAGTGTTCTGTATTTGTAGTTACTGACTGTATGATGGCTGACCGACCAACTCACTGTCACTCCTGAGTTGACATTAACTGGATCAGCATGATACCTGGCAATTTATAAAATGAGCTAGCGGGCTCTGTAGGAAGACAAAGGCCCCTGTGTTTTTGGCCATGGGGTCCTTTCTGACACAATTTAAAGGCATTTGACTGAATTCCAGCCTAAACAAGCGCATAGGACTGAATTTGAAGTGCACATAAACTGTCACCTAAGTCCCCAGCTGCCTCATTTCATTCAATGTGTAATCGGTGGCTTTAGGTTCAGCAGGTCAGGTCAAGTCATAGTTGGTATGTGTGTAACATTTAACAATGTTTTCTTTAAATGATCTCTCCTCTAGATCCTGTGCTTGGAAAAGAGCTTGGAAGAAATGCTGACCAGAGTCGATGAGTTTGTTGGAATGCTGGACATGGTAAGCTAGGTCAGGCTGTGAAACAGTGAAAGATTGTGTGTTATTATTAAGATTGTTATGAGTGCACTGTATCTCATTTTTTATTGAATTACATGCATATTTGTCTCTTGCATCCTTTCATGATTTGTCTCCAGATCCGTAATGACACTTCCCAGATAGTGAATGAAAACCTACCTCAAATCCAGCAGAAGTCTGATGAAATGAGACAAATATACAGAAGAATTGATAAGTTAGAGGTAAGTGATCATTTTAACTTTGTGAGGTTCAAAGGGTCAGTACTGCTTCATACAAAATACAGTGCTTTTGTAATATACATTTGATCTAGCGAATGGCATCCTGTGAGCAAAGCAGACTGTAAACTACTCCATTAAGGACTGTGAAATCAATGTAGCATGAAACCTATGATGTAATTTGATGAAAATAAGATTTGTGCAAAGTGTTTTTTTATTATTAAGTATACGATATATCCTCATCACAAAAGGAGAAAGTGTTATAAATACTGTGAACTAGTCAGTTTTCACATGTTGGCCACTTCCTATTTTCTTCTATCAAAAATGGAAGTAAACAATGGTCTTGGAGTGCAGTATGCTCTTGTTTTCAAAGGCTAATATTGTCACACACACTGAGTAGATAACTGAGACAGAAGCCAACTAGCCAATACATAAACGTATTAATTGTAAGCCTGCGCTTTTTGGTTAGGTATGAAATCTTTGGTTTTATTTGTTCTTTGTCCATTCCTCGTGTAAAGGGCCTTCTTGGTTATATTCACAATTTTTTTACAAAACACTTAGTTTTTTACAAAATATTCACAAAATGCTAAATAATTTTGCCAAGAATCTTAGAGAAAGAGTTTTGCCACGTTATGCCTGGTGTGCCTACAGGCCTTTGTAAAGATGGTGGGAGCCAATGTCAGCGCCATGGAGGAGCAAGTCACGCAGGCAGAGGGAGAGCTAGGAACACTACCTGGTGCTTTCAAGAAGATCCTTCGCACAATGAGTGTCCCAGGCTTCTTAAATGTAAGAGCTCCCTCATGTGCTTGTGAATATGTAGTTTTACATTGTCAGTTTTGTTTTTTAGTATCTATGAATTTTATGTGTTCCTGTGTTAATACTGACATAAACAGTGAACTATGGTGTGAAATAGTCTTTTCTACCACTGACTTGAACATGCCTGAGACCCTTTCCTAGTTAGCATATTTAAAATTGTTCTCCAGGGTGTACTATTGGACAATTAAGATTAATTTGTGTGTTTTCATTGACAGAAACCGGCCAGCCCAAGAAGACCAGCACCACATCAGCGTCAAGAGATCCCCAGTGTGTTTCGGACAGATGATTATTTCACATCACAGCCAGAACAGTGACACGCTAGAACATTTAACTTAACATAACTTGGTCTAACCTCAGAGGCCTATTTGGGTGAAACTGTAGAGACAACTTTTACTGCCATCCATTGCAAGAGGATCTATTGGTACAGCGGCCTCAACAAAGCAATAGTAGCCTTTCTGAACAAGTCACTGGAAGTCAAGTGCGTGAAGACACTCAGCATTTTTTAGTGTCCTGGCAGCAACAAGCACTGAACTGTAGCAAAATGATTTTAAAAGTGCCTAAATGGGTCTTCTTTCTGTCAGTCTTGTTTTCAACAGTTGTGAAGAAAACAATGTCAGCTGTTAAATGTGACAAGTAAGGAGGACAAAGTCAACCCACTGTAAAGAAGGTACAATAGGAGGACCTGTAAACATCTAAAGATGTATTACACGAAGAATTAACCCAGCGTTTTTTTATAAATTACATTCCTGTTACTGGTGTTTGTAAAAAACCTGCACGCTGTTATGAATTAATCTGTATTTCTAATATCTCATCACTCTCCCCAAGCAATATTGATCTCATCCAGTTAAGCATTTAATGTCTTCCACTTCAAAATATTCACTTAATTGCAAGCCTGACTTTACTGGCTATGGATGACAGTTGCCCCAATGATGTGGGGCTACATTTAATGGCACCTTTAAAAAAGAAAAAAAAAAAAAGAAGCACACTATTGATAAATTGTATTCGTTTCACAAGTCCAACTATCTGATGAATCAAAGTCTGGGCCAGTGATGAAAATGTGATGTGGCCCTTACCCTTCGAACAAGGTTTAATGAGTAATGGTCGCAGTGGTGATTCGTTTTTGGATTAATTATTTGCCAAAATAGCTAGGAATAAAGATGTTTCATTTACAGGTTGATTTTGGTTTACGTTTTTAAAATAATCATTAAAGTTTTATTTGAGACAAGTTCTTTGTTGCATGTCCCATTATTTGTAATTTCTCTCAGTTTGGTCATAATGGTTTTTAATTAGTCCATAGATTGCATCAAAGTGTATATACAAAGGTTACCACTTGTCTATCGACCTTAAAATGTATTGAGATTTGTAGCCCTGAATTCAGTTTTTCAGACAGCCTTTCCCCAGAGTGTGTCCCGCATCCTCTACTATGACTGACGTTCATACCAACCATCTATAATGGGATATTGCCCTTGTTGGAAGTAGGCCTAATACCTTGGATGTGGTACCTAGTCGTGGAGAAAGAGGTCCTGACAGGCCAAACTCAGGGCAAATATTACATTCCAGAAATGTGGGTCCTCATTGGTCAGCTTGCAAGCGACGTCATAAGTTGGTCATAACTCGGAGGAAGCGGGAACACCATAAGTCCCGGTCTGATTGAATTTGTCTCCACGCTGGCTGGCCTGCTGCCTGAAAAAGTAAGCTAAAACTTGCAACACGATAAAGTAGGCCTACTCTTTTTTTAGTTTAACGCTTTTCAAAGGTGATAACTTGCCTAGTTGTAGCAGCACGGCTTTATTCAGGCAAGTACAAGGAAAATTAATAAAACGGTTCCGGAAGAAAGGCAGTCTGTGTGCTAACGGCAAAGTTAGCCGTAAGTTAAGTTCATTTATGGCGATGGTTCCCGGCGTTGAACAGTTGTTGGACCGCCGGTAGTAACTTTTGATGGACCTTTGATGGAGCTTTCTGTACCGAGCTCCCATTTATACGAAAATACATTGCTATGACTCGGGCCAATTACAGAAAATAACATTGGAAACTCATGCATGACTAGTGATAGTTTCAGAATACAAATGTATCAATACAAGCTAGTATTTCTGTTTTTGTCTTTGGCGTAATCCCCATCAGCAGGAATAAAACTAGGGATGCAGCGAACTATTATTTTCATTATTATTAATCGATTTGTTTATAAAAATGTCCTAAAATAGTGTAATGTACCCACTGTCATTTTCTGAAGTCAAAGCTTACGTATTCAGATGGCTTGTATTAGTCATCACACACTCCAAAACACAAAAATGTTCAGCTTATGATCAGAAATGACAAAGAAAAGCTCCACATTATTGCATTTGAGTAACTTCAACCAGCGAATGTTTGGAATTTTTGGTTGAAAAACGATTGAAATGATCGATGATGACTGAGGATTGATCGATCAATTGACTAATCATTGCAGCGCTAAATAAAACCCTGAAGACATACAGCCAGTCCAGATAGTGGCAGCTAGCTGTGGCACTTCCTGTGGCAAACTCAGCTGCCACTGACTTGCCATGTTCTGGCCAACGGGGCGAAATAAGTAAAACATTAGTTTAATAATTATACAGTTGCCACATGTGAGTAACGGTATTTTAGAGGTGCTGAGGGAAGATGGGAGACTACACCTCGATCTTGTGCAGGATAGTTAAAATTGTTTTCACCTTAAGTGGGGTGTGTGGATTACAGTGCCTGTACTGTGTGGTTTGACAGGTAAGTGTGGTAAGGTAAATTGCCGTGCCTCCACTAGAGGGTGATAGCGTGCCGTGGTCGAGTGGTCTACCTTAAAATGGGAGTATAGACCTGTGCTTAACTTTGTGTTGGGGATATCACTGTTTAGTAGGATCTTTAAGGTGTCCTGTTGGGACGTGGCAGTTATCTGTTATTGTAAACCTCCTCCCTTTTTAAGAATTTAATTTTACAGAAATAAAGATATTGTATTTTCTGTATCTGCATGTTGTGGTTAGTTGACAGTTGTTACTCAAAACCCACATTTATTGCTGTATAACCTATATATGAAAAGCTTTTCTCAACAGCAGTTGCATCTGTAAGAAGAACCTGATCATATGAAGCTTGATCTTCATCATTGCAGCTGTTGTATACTGCAGATGACCAATCACACACTCACTGACTGACTGACTGACTTTCTGTCTATCTGCCTGTCTGTCTGACAATAGAACAATAGAGTTAGAAATTTTAAAACCACATCTGCTGAATTGTAGGTGTGTAAAGCCAGATACTGAATAAATATATAAAATATAAACATCAAAAACCGTATTAAATAAAAAATAGGAATAAAAAAAGAAGAGGAGTTGCTGTGGGTTCTCCTTCCCCACACTATGAAACACTTATAAAATAAAATTACACACGTGGCAACTATATAACTAAAATATTGTTATACTGAGCTTGCCCCATCGGCAAGAGTATATAGCATGCGCATATATATATATATATATATATATATATATATATATACACACAGCATTTATGTTAAGTTACAGGAGCGACTAAGGGGTGCTACAAAATCTTGCGTTAGAGAATGTGTACATCAGTATGACTTCACTGAACAGTCTATAGTCTACCACAACTCTGACTGCCAGCTAATGATGAGACTCTTTTCTCTTTCAGATCCAAAGCTTCACACATGGCTTGTGAGAAAGAAATATGGCAAAAGATTGGAGAGGGCTTTGTGCAAGAATATTACAACCAGTTTGACAATACCAATAGGATGGGACTGGGTAACCTTTATGTACGTTTGTTCACTGTCCATTTTAAGTTTGCTACAACATGACATTTGCTACAAACCAAATTGCATCTCAGTAAACATTCATGTTACACTCAAGTTACTTTTGTAAATGTTACAATGTATGATTTTTAAAAATGTGTACATGTATGTAATGTAAACAAACTTCTTTTTCTTAGTCTGCTGATGCTTGTTTGACATGGGAAGGATCACCTTTTCAAGGAAGAGAAGCCATTACAGGCAAACTAGCAGTAAGTATCTCTTCTTACCATGGTTGATATTAATCACAATCCACAAAGAAACTGTGGAATTGTAGGCTTCCAGTTCAAGCTGCTTTTTGTGGTTATTGTGCCTTAGGTGCCTGCATTTGTTCACACATTTCAACAGATAGTATTGTCTCACTTTTCTGCATTGAACACTGTCCCACCTTTTTTAGTATTAATAGCAAATCATTATGGTTGCTGGATGTTGCTGTATATTCCAATAATAATTTTATTTCCAATCCACAGAACTTGCCTTTCAAGCGTATTAAGCACATTATCACAGAACAAGACTTCCAACCCACGATAGATAGCTGTATCCTCATCATGGTGTTTGGACAGTTGCAGGTAAGCTGGTAGATTTTAGTTAACAGGCTTGGGTCTGCACTATCCACAGATGTACAGTTGACGGCAGAAGTTTCCATACACTTTGCACAATTCCTGATATTTAATCCTAATAAACATTTGTTGTCTTCATTTTAAGAATGTAAAATGTCAGAATAATAGTAGATAGACTCATTTAGTTAGCTTTTATTTCTTTCATCCCATTCCCAGTGTGTCAGAAGTTTACATACACTTTGTTAGTATTTTGTAGCATTGCCTTTAAATTGTTTAATTTGGGTCAAATGTTCCAGGTAGGCTTCCACAAGCTTCTCATAATAAATTGCTGGAATCTTGGCCCGTTTCTCCTGATAGGACTGGTGTAACTAGGTCTCCTTGGTTTACACGCCTTTTCAGTTCTGTGTACAGAATTTCAATTGAAGTCAGGGCTTTGTGATGACCACTCCAAAACCTTGACTTTGTTGTCCTTGAGCCATTTTGCTACAACTTTGGAAGTAAGCTTGGGGTCATTGTCCATTTGGAAGACCCATTTGCGACCAGCTTCAACTTCCTGGCTGATGTCTTGAGATGTTGCTTCAATATGTCCCCATAATTTTCTTTCCTCATAATGCCATCTGTTTTGTGAAGTGCCCCAGTCTCTCCTGCAGCCAAGCACCCTCACAACATGATGCTGCCACCCCCATGCTTCACATTTGGGATGGTTTTCTTCTGCTTGCGAGCCTCACCCTTTTTTCGCCAAATATAGGAGGGTCATTATGGTCGAACAGTTCAATTTTGTTTCATCAGACCACAGGACATTTCCCCAGAAACTAAGATCTTTGTGCACCTGTGTGCAGTTACTAACTGCGGCTTTTTTATGGCAGTTTTGGAGCAGTGGTTTCCTCCTTGGTGAGCAGCCTTTCTGGTTATGTCGATATAGGACGTTTTACTGTGGCTACAGATACTTTTGTAGCAGAATCCTCAAGCATCTTCACAAAGTTCATTGCTCTTTGCACTTTTTGCACCAAAATAAGTTCATCTCTTATGTCTCCTTCTTGACTGGTATGACACCTGCATGGTGTTTATACTTGCTTACTATTTTTTGCACAGATAAATGTGGTACCTTCAGGCATTTGGTAACTGCTCCCAAGGATGAACCAGACTTTCGAAGGTTCACAGTTTTTTTCTGACATCTTGGCTGATTCCTTTTGATTTTCCCATGATGTCATGCACAGAGGCACTTAGTTTGGAGGTTGGCCTTAAAATACTTTGACAGGTACATCTCCACTGAACTCATTATGTCAATTAACCTGTCATAAGCTAAAGGCATGATGTCAATCTGGAATTTTCCAATGTGTTTATAGGCACAGTTAACTGAGTGAGTTTAAACTTCTGATACACTAGAATTGTGATACAGTGAATTAGAAGTGACACAATCTGTAAACAATTGTTGAAAAACTTACTTGTCATGCACAAAATATACCGACTTGCCAAAATTATAGCTTGATAACATGAAATCTTTGGAGTGGTTAAAAATAAAGTTTTAATGACTTCAACCTAATGCATGTACATTTCTGACTTCAACTGTACAACCTGTATATATGTGCTACAGTGCAGGCCAACATGGCTTGGTATTCTTTTTTTTCTTTACTCATTATTTATAGATCATCCTGTACACCTGCTTCATTTGATTGTCACTGCTAAGTATCTCAAAACAATTTTGTAGCATAGATTTCAAAATAGAGCAAAGCTTTTTATTTTGTACACCAGACTCCCTTGTCCTCCTTGACAATCTGATTGCCTTTGTTTTATTGCAAATATTGCATGTAAGGGAAACATTTCTGCCTTAGTTAACAATTTTTCTCATTATTGTGCTCAAACATTTTCTGCAACAGGTCGATGATGATCCACCAATGGCCTTCCATCAAGTGTTTATGCTGAAGAACCAAAACTGTGCATGGGCTTGCACAAACGATGTGTTCCGGTTGGGGATACATAACATACCAGTGTAGCAATCTGGATTTGTTGGCTCACACACATTGAGATCCACTTCTGAATTCATGCTGGGGTCATCATTGAAAACGCAAGGCATTATATGCAAAATTCCTCAATGTTGACAATACATGTGTAAGCATGCTGTTAGTAGAGAAATGCCAAACTACATTCCTGTCCAATAAAAGAATTTATTAGTCTGAATTATTGTAATTGTGTTCCCTTGCTCTGTCAAATAGGTATTTTCCCAATGACTAAAACTGCATTTTATAGTAATTTTGTCATTCACCATGGAGATTTTGTGGTTTCATACATGATCGCTAGAGGCGCAGCGCCTGATCTGTGGGTGTCAGTTTAAATGGTCTAACCAACAAAGCCTCAGCTGCAGTTACGTGAAGTCATGGCACTGAGTAGAAGCTAGAAGAACCCAATTAAATACTCTGAATGACATGGAAATGGATCTCGTGAATATAAGTCGTCCGTCGGATGACCTAAAACAACCGGTAAGCAGTTTCAATGCAGCTAGCTACTGCGCTTAATTCATATAGGGAAACGTTAAATAATGATAAAGAGCGTACTTGTGTAACTGTCAGATCTGTCGCCTGTGTGTTAACGTGGTCTGACACACCACATGGCTGACTCAAGTTTAGCCTCGCTTTGTGAAAGTACAGCGTATTTATGGCTTATGGTTTATGGCTAACGTAATATTAAATCGAGCCTCGTCTGGTAATGTTGGCTAACTCAGTGACGCGATGTCGGATACAACACAACCGTCGACTACGCTCGGGCCTTAACGTTCAAGACTTTTGGTAACAAGATAAACGTTCAACGTGAAGACTTATACAAATCCCATATTAAACATGTGAAGGTTATATGTCCATTGTTATGGTTGTTACGAGTTAATAATGCGCATGCGCAGTGGCATCTTTTGTAATGAAAGGTACATATTGTAAAACAAGCTGTCTACAGTTGACAATTACTGTTGCGGGGTTGTACCCACTGAACCCCAGTTCAGAAATTAAAAAACATCAGAAAAATACAAAACTAAATGTGAGGTGAAAATATGTGTGTTTACTTACTGGGCTCTGGCTCTTTATAGAATGGCATCAAAGATAAAGATCCAGACTGCCGAAATGGTTCAGAGACAGAGGATGAACCTTTGCTCAGAGAAAACCCCAGACGGTTTGTCATCTTTCCCATCCAGTACCCCGACATCTGGAAGATGTACAAGCAGGCGCAAGCCTCTTTCTGGACAGTGGAGGAGGTGGGTATTGCTATTTTGGTATTTCTGACTGCCTTAAGGGGAAAATACTAAAAATAAAAACAACTTTTCAATTACTGAGTAATTTTTTTTTCATATCAATTTCCACACAGATTTACATGTAGCCACCGCCCACAATATACATACATACATTCAATGCCTACCACAGCTTTTCATCATTGGAAAAACCGGAACAATCTATGAGACGGACAGATTTACTGCTCATATTGTGTCTTTCAGGTTGATCTTTCCAAAGACCTGACACACTGGGACAGATTGAAACCTGAAGAGAAACACTTCATCTCCCATGTCCTTGCATTCTTTGCTGCCAGTGACGGTATCGTCAATGAGAACCTGGTGAGAGAGATACCAGAGGGATGTCACTCAGCTGTTTTGTGGGTTGTACACCTCTAAAGAGACAACAAGATGTAATATTTCTTTCTATAGACCCACCACAAGTGCTCATAGATTCAGAGCATGGCAGTTAAATGTATTGGCAGCCAAGTTAAGATAGAACCTAATGAGCCTAGCTTGGTTTTCTTCCATAGTCACTTGTAAATCTTTCTAGCCACTGCCAAAACGAACTGCTTTTGAGCCTAATAGTTCATGGTACATGCTGTGTTTGATAGCATAAACACTGTAAATAGCCACCTGACTGGAACATGGTTTACTCAATCAACTGTTTGTGACATACACCATCAAGAATGACCCACTAAAGTCAGATTAAGTTTAAATTTTGAATTGAAATTATATTTTTGCATACAATAAAGTGTCATGGTAATATTTTTGTATTTGTGTTTCAACTAACAGGTGCAGAGGTTCACCCAGGAGGTGCAGCTCCCTGAAGCACGTTCCTTCTACAGCTTCCAGATTCTCATAGAGACTGTTCACTCAGAGATGTACAGCATGCTCATCAACACTTACATTAGGGATCTGAAGGAAAGGTCAGTTTCTTATTGGTCTAGTCCTTTCTTATGGTGGCTCAGTGGTTCTGTCTAATTTTTTGATTCAAGCAGGTTTTACATTTTTTTAATTTAATTTTTGAATTTATTACTATTTATTGCGACAAATTCTCCCTGTACATCAAATTTTCTGAAGATTCAAAACAAACTGTAAGATCTGCACCTGTTTGTCACAGGAAATATCAACAACAACACTTTGTGGTGATGTCTGTTGCATTCCCAGCTGGTGCAGCTTTGATGTCCCTACAGACTAGGAAGACAACACTTTCATGCTTAAACAAGCTATTTACTATGTCTATAAAAAGTATATGGACATCATTTTTTATTGTTCTACATCATGCATCTTTGTTCCTTCGTTTTGTCCCGCACATTCAGAGGTTCTGCCATGTTTTATGTTTTTATAAAAAAGTAAGTGGCTCAAATATGATTCATTATTGTTTATCAGTCAAACAAAAAAAACAACCAAGGGAGTGAATAGTTTTCGTAGGCACTGTCTTTGTTATGTATGTTTTGAACTAGTAATGTTAAATGTTTTTTAATAAATTGCATGTGTTTTAGGGACTATTTGTTTAACGCCATTCAGACTATGCCTTGTGTGAAACGAAAAGCAGACTGGGCCATACAGTGGATAAATGACAACAAAGCCTCATTTGGTAAGTACAACATGCCATTAAAATCATCATATCATAGATTGAACATAATGAACAACTCTTGCCCAGATGAGCTTCCTTTTACTGGGGGTTAATAGTAGTTTTGACATTGACTTTCTGCCTTCAGGGGAGCGGATTGTGGCTTTTGCAGCTGTGGAGGGAATCTTCTTCTCTGGCTCATTCGCTGCCATCTATTGGCTCAAGAAGAGAGGCCTCATGCCCGGGCTTACCTACTCCAATGAGCTGATAAGCAGGGATGAGGTGAGAGGAATTATCAACTAAACTGAACTGAAAAGTCCACTTAACTTTGAGGACAGCTGCAGACAGACAGACAGACAGACAGACAGACAGACAGACATACAGACAGATAGACGGATAGATAGATAGATAGATAGATAGATAGATAGATAGATAGATAGATACTTTATTTATCCCCTAGGGGAAATTCATGTGCCCATTAGCTCATTGTTGATAATAATAATAATAAAACAGTTAACAATAAATGAACAATAATAATTAGATTAGTCCACTTCCTTTGGCTGAGGTGTTGTATAGCCTGATGGCAGTGGGAACAAAGGATCTCCTGTACCTTTCTGTTCTGCAGCACAGTGTGATGAGACGTTTGCTTCTGTAGCTGCTTCTCTGTCCTGCCAGAATGTGTATATATATATATATATATATATATATGTATAATAATTTTATATATATAATATTGTAACGAGGAATGTTTGATCTCAGGCTACACAATACATATTACTCAATGCAGGTGTGGAACTTTAATCTTTGACAACTTTGTGTTACACACCTGTTGAGGTTTGGCAGTGCATGTTTTTCCTGTTTATTTCAGGTCACTCAGCTACTTATATTGCTACCATAGTGTCTGCATTTACCACTCCTATAATGTGATTGCTGGCTTGTTCAGCTTTTCCTTCCACACTTTGTTATTTAAAATTTTTCACAGTAGCTAAGGTGCTCTAGGGTCAGTTTGGGTAGTAAATATGGTCACAGTTTGAAAACAGTTAAAGGTTGATCTTCCCGTTTCAGTATCAACTATCCTCACATGTATATTGATGTGTCTCCTAGGGCCTGCACTGTAACTTCGCCTGCCTGCTGTACAGCTACTTGATGAAAAAGCCATCAGAGGACAGAGTGAAGGACATCATCACAAAAGCTGTTAGCATTGAGCAGGTCAGCTAGTGTTGGAGGATTTATGCTTTATTATGATTTATTACCCAACCCACACTACCACATTAGAAATTTTAGCATGCAGTATATCTATGTTTGTTTTTCACTGTCTAGTTTGTCTCTATGGATAGGTATTGAAATAAACCAGCAAGTGTTTAACAGTATATTCTCCTTTGATGTACTTTCTGATTTTGAAAGACAATAATCTTGAGAGGATATACATTTCTGTAAATAAATAAATAAATAAATATCCTGTTTGGTGTTGCAGGAGTTTCTGACAGAGGCCTTGCCAGTGGATCTCATTGGAATCAACTGTTGTCTGATGAAACACTACATCGAGTTTGTGGCTGACCGTCTTCTCACTGACCTCGGACTGGCTAAAGTAATTCTATTTAAATTTGAATTAAATGGCAGCCAGGTGGTCATTTCTCATTTAATTTCTTTATATTATGGTAGCTATGCTGTTGAAGAAGTGGATCCCCCAATGCCTTGGTCTAGAAGCCATATTCCCAGCAAAAAAGTTTTTAACATAAAATTTACAGATTATTTCACTAATGATTTTTGGTTAACTGTTTGTAATGGGAAAACTTATTTCCTTCTCTTTTTCAAGGTTTACCAAGCAGAGAACCCATTCGACTTCATGGAGTCCATTTCCCTAGAGGGGAAAACAAACTTCTTTGAGAAACGAGTGGCGGAGTATCAGAGATTTGGAGTTATGTCGAGCATGACAGACTGTGAATTCACACTGGATGCAGACTTCTGAAACAGAGATCACTGTTACCATTGGCCTATTTATTTTAATTTTTCTTCTATGTAGTAGTTGGCAAAGAAAACCTCCACATGTTACAGCTACGTTTGGCTGAGGAATGGGAAATACACCTCAAGTGAATTAGCAGCCAGTATAGTTTGCAAAGTGGAATAAGGTGAATGTTAAAGGCCAATTTTGACCTGGAAACAGTTCAGAACAGGCATTTTTAGTTAAGCATAAATAATGAGCGAGGTTACAAGGAACAACTGTTTCACACCTTATTTGACACTTAAAGATGATAAATATATACATAATATTTTATTGAGTCTGCAGGTCTGGGTACTGGATTCTATGGTGAACTGTTTTAGCGTTTTGTCATTTTTAAAGGTACAATAAAATGTTTTGTAAAATGAAAGTAATTTCTTTGTCGTCATTACCGGCCGTTTTCAAATGGTGGTGAGTAATTGTTTAACTATATTATTTAGGTATTGCCAAATCCCTGAATCTATCTCATATTATTTGACTTCCTAACGACCAGAATAAAAAATATTTATATACATCTAATTGTAGTTTTCCCTGAGATTTCTCCAGCAACCAGATTAGATTAGCCACTCCTCCGTTAGCATACGGATGCAGGCAATGATAGCTAACAGCTAGCTAGTGTTTTCGCAATTTCGAAAGATGGCTGGGGACTTGGAAGGTTTTGCGCTGGAAAAAGCCGAACTGCTTTCCAGCCGTTTGAAGGAGCTCCTGTCTGCGGGGCAAGGGTATGTTCGGGCTCAGTTCGGTGTGGATATGGGGCTGAAGCCCGAGCTGTACCCGACGTGGGTCATCCTGTCCACGGCCGCGGTGGGTCTGCTGCTGCTACTCTGTCTGTCCTGGGTCGCCGTCTGCGGCGGTCTGCTCGTTGGGAAAAAGCGAGGATCCCAGCTCACCCAAAGCAGCGGTGAGCCTAACAAGGCCAATCTTGTCAAAACTACGAAACCAGAAGAGCAGAAGAAGAGGAACAAAAAGAAAACGCTTGAAAAGGTACCGCAGTCTGCGTTAACGGACGGTAGAGTCACAGTGGTACAATCAAAATAAGTACATCTATTCAGTCGTGCCCAGAAACAACTGACAAAAGTGTTTACTCAGTTAGCTCAATTTATACATTTATCCCCACTGGTATTTTATCAGAAAGAGCCGTCAAGTTCAACGTTTACGTTTGTTAACCGTCTAACTTGGTAATCTCACACACCTTGAATTCTAATAAGCGTCACAAGACGCTTTGTTTAAACACTATAAATTAAGCCATCTAAAGAAAATACTGTGAGTCACTTACAAATTACAAAAATAAAGAAAAGACTAAAGATACAATGAATAGCAGCGTCTTGTTTAGAAAAGCATGCTAACTAGCTGCCAACTGACAAGTCACAAACGATAGTTAACGTAAACAAGTAAAACAAGATGGAGCACTATCTAGCTCCGATTAGTAAACTGTTGATAGCGTGAAAATGGCAAGGTTTTCTCTCATCTGTGAACAGGATTATCTGAGTTTTAAAAAGCTGTCTGTATTTTTAATATTTCAGAAGCTTAAGTTCAGGACTACGTGAGCTATTCAATCCACAGTCAAACGTCTTCGGGGTCAGGTGTCATCAAGGTTATCGACCACCACATGGATCCTGTCTTTAGTAGTTTTAGAAATATAACGTTAAGTTGATGTTTACTTAAAAACTTAAAAGCTTTTGTTTATGTTGCAGTTGAAAGGTATGTTTGTGAAGTAAACAGCAAAGTCGGATACAGTCAGTGTAAAAATCTTGAAATTAAAGGTTAGCAGCATGACTGGTTTCAAAGACATCATGCTGTTTTTCTGCTTCCTTCCTCCCCCAGAAAACTCAGTCCAATGGGCAACCAGTGACTGTTGCTCAGGAGGAAGTTAAAGTGACTCCTGTGGTTTCCAAGCCTTCCTCTGACATCAAAACTGAGAAGGTATGTTTGAGCTTCTGCTGCCAAAATTAAGGGGAAAACTGTTAGAGGGTGGGTGTTTGAGGGCAAGACAGCCATTAGTTTTATACAATCTCATGAGACAGTTTCGTTATTGATGAAATAATACTGAAGCCTTACTGTCACTGCTGGTCACATTTTCCATTATGTATAAGGCTTCAATGTACACCAAAGTTATATGATTGTCATTAATATAAACTTTTATTATTACCCCATCCTTCAATTTTGTGTAACTTTTCTCTCTGACCACAGGTCCAGGTCCAGGTCCAGGCCCCAGTGCAAGTGAAAAAGAACAAAAAGAAAACCAAGACAGATGTGAAACCAGTCCAACATGTGACTACAAATGACACGAAGGAACCTGATGATGGTCTGTTGTAGGGGAAATTTCATAACTTCTCATTTTAAAACTGACAGTTTAGTCAATCAGTGCATACCCCTCATGTGTCAAGTATTTACAACCTACTTGACTTCTTCAGTTTCGTTTAGCCTGAATTGATAGAAGTATCATTCTATTTTCCCTGTCTTGGTTGAATAATCAACCTCAGTGCATCCATTCCTTCAACCTTAAAATACATAGTTATTATTACATTGTGCACACCAAGACACCTAACCAATTGTAGTTGGGTTTTTTTTGTGTCTACCAGGTGCATGGGAGACCAAAGTCAGTAACCGAGAGAAGAGGCAGCAGCGCAGAAAGGACAAGGGCCCTGAGGACTCTGGTAGTTCAGGAGGTGTGGAGACCCCCAAAACCCATGTGATAGCAGCTGTAGCCACAGCACCTACCAACACCAAGAAGAACAGAGGAAGCCATGGTATTTATCTAACATCTAAAGAATGACATTAAATTTAGATGTTAGAATATAGGGATTTTGTGTCATATACATGGCAGGAGTAGTAATCAAAAGGTTGGGCCTATCATTAAAATGTGATGGAAATTTAGTTTTATTTACTGTACTGAATGTACTGTCTTGTCGGTAGCCATTCACTCATACTCAAAAACTAGAATGATCTAATAATGTTGAGATTTACTGAAGCATAGTTTTTCTCCCTTCACTTTGTTTTAGAGTCACTGCCTTCAAGAACCACTGGAAAGGGGGATGCTGCCAGTGGAGCTGGTAAAGACTGAGTGTGACAGAGAAAACTTTGTATTAATTCCCATTTCCCTGAATGCCTTTTTTATTTTCACAAGTAAATATTTGATAAGGTCTTAAAGTGATTTTTAAATCAATGACATTGGTCTGAACCCTGATATATGATTTAATTTGATTAAAATCTGCTTGACTAAAGGTTGTTGACTCTCTGTCTTCCTGTCTGTGTTCCTGCTTCCTCAGTGTCCTCCAGCTGGAGAGAGGAGCCTTCAGTCAACGGTGTAGGATGGACTGACATTTCCATGAAGCTCTCAGGTCAGAGAGGTGCTATGGAGGGAACCAAGTGGAGTAACGTGTCCACAGCTCCACATTACAGGGTCGCAGCTGAGCCCCAGCGCTGGACACAGGAGACGCAAGGTACCACATTGGCAGACCTTTTTCTACACCACAAATATAAACAGTAATAGCAAAAACAGCAGCAGGGTATAACACAGCAAAGTCAAACATACATTGGGACAGTGAGGTTTTTCATTGTTTTGGCTCTAGTCAGCATGTTGGACTTGAAATGAAACAATGACTATGAAGTTAAAGTGCAGCTGTAAAGATGTTTGGAAGAAGTTACATCCACCTCAGGTGAACAGTGTAGTATTCATAGTCCATTTTATCCTCGGGTGGCTGATTAGTCCCAGTTCTAACTGTATTTGAATTTAACAATGTGATCAGATCTTTCAGCATGCTGTATCATTTGTGCCTGTACTGCTATTTCAATATTCAGTTACTAAGTGAAAACAGGCTACGGTAACAACAATTCAACACTGCCGTTTGGACTGCTGAAATTTAAAAAAAAAAAAAGGGAAAGAAAATCAGATTCTTCAGTTTACGTTCACTGAGATCATAGTTATTTACAAGACCCTGTCCAACTGAGCCATCTGCTGGCTTGAAGTGGTATTGCAAGAAAAATGAAGATTGATAAGGAGTGGAAGTTATAATGATGTGTTGTTAAAACTTGAGCTGATATTTTGTAAGTGGCTGTGCTAGCATGTGGTGAAACAATTAAATGATTATATCAACTGTTGGTTCAACAAAGACACCCTAAATATTCATTCTCTATATAACATTTTATAAGGTTACACACCCTGAGGGGTTATTAAAACCAAATTAAGACTTAATGACGATTGTGATTCAATCAGTTTTGATGTCTCGGGAGGTGTATTTTCAATCATGAATTATTGCCAGAACAGTATTCCAACTATATTTGTGTAAATCCATGTTTCTGTGTACCCTCGTCAGCAGCATGGAGTGGCATTGATGGTCGGATAAAGACTGAACACAACCCTGTGTCTTTCTCCATGCGGAGACTAAACACCACAGGTTGATATTGTGTTTAACTGCCAGCTTTATCACCTCATCAATTGTTTTTTTCGATCATTTTTTTAATCATTTCTGTCAGTTTAGTTTATTTACCTCCCTTCTGTCTCTCATAGACCCAATATCAAATTCCGTTGAGCTGCAGTGGGCAAGCCACCGAGATGCTGACGATGAATGGTCTGGATTCAGTAAGTGTTTCAGCAACCCATCCTACATCCCACACCCTCCTAAACAGTTGCTGTTTGTTCAAAAACAAAGGGAACAGCATTAAGGATTTTTCTGTATCTTGACTTCCATCCTGGTGATGTGAATTTTTCAGATGGGATGGCAGCAGCGGATCCCAGCTCTGACTGGAATGCCCCAGCAGAGCACTGGGGAAACTATGAAGAGCCTCCTGTGTCCTTGACACCAGCCCCTCCGCTGAAGCAACAGCCACTCGCCAACAAGGTCTTTCTCAATCCTCAGGGCCTCCACACTGCTATTTGTGCTGTATTCTTCTCATGAACCCCCCTTATCCAGGACCTGAAAGTCTTAATGACGTGGAATAGGCTTTAGTAATTCTGTATTTTGAGTGTTAATCCCAAAAGCACCCTTTGATTGCTTTCTGTCATGATCATTCACCATGACAGAAAGCAATCAAGAGGACTTAGTGATCTCAGTTTTTAATTGAAATAATTTGAGTGTTGTTTTTTTTATGGCAGGTATCAGAGGATGAGAAGGACACAGAGGATCCCTCTGGGGGAGCAGCCAAATCCAAGAAGAAGAGGAAAAAGAAGAAGAAAACAGAAGAGGAGGCTGCATCCGAGCCTCAGGCAAGGAAGCAAAACATCAGACTGTCAGATTAATATCTTGCACAAAGGTATAAAACTACTGTGTTGTCGGCGTTTTCTCTGTTTTGTCAATTTCCTTGTGTTTGTTTGATTGTAGGTGGTGAGCGCTGCACCCCTGGTCAATGCAGGGCCCAAACCCCAAGAGCTTCCAGTGACGGCCTCCAAAAAACTGAATCCCAGCATATCCTCCTCTCAGAGTAGGTTTCAGAAGTTCTGACTCTGAATCTGTGTTTACTCACAGTGAAGAAAAAAGTCACTGACAGGAAGTAAATGTTCCAACCGAATAAAAACTACTCTTAACTGTTAAGTCAATCTCTCTACTTTCCCATACATTTCTTTAAGGCTGAAGCTGTAATGTATGTTCCTATGTTCTGTAGGATTAAATGGAGATGCTTCTAAATACAACTTTTTTTGATTTTTACTTTTTAATCTATTTGCAGAGAAGTCTGAGCAGACTGCAGAGCCTCCGAAACCCTCCCAGAAGAAAAAGGTCCGAAGAGAAACATGAAGTCACATCACAGGTCCAAACAAAGCATATGCAAATGATTGTTAAATGTGTCACATGCAATAATTACCAGGTACAGAGTTAGAGAGTCTGAGATACAAGAACAGTTTATTGGTTACCGAAACAAAAAGAAAACAAGCAGTGGATATCACCTGCTTGGCTAAATATAGAGATGAAATGTGGTCCTGTGGACTAAAATCTTAACTAATTTGCACTATTTACTACACTGCAAAAAGAGTGGAGTTTCAGGAGAGGTAGACTTGCAGTGGAGGTACATGTTTATGTAATTATTTTTCAATGGCATCAAAGGTGTTTTTTTTCTCCAAGAGTGTTCTTTATAATTGTGAAACAAAAAAAAACATAAATGCTTTTTCTTTTTCTTTATTTTTTAGGAAAATTTAAGTTCCAATACAACAATACATTTTTACTCCCCAGAATGTTGCACTTTGTTTTGTTTTTCATGCTGCTGCCCGTAAATCAATTACTGAAATGTTTGAGAGCAAGCAGCATGTCAGTTCTGGTTTCAAATCCATCTTAAAGGATTGGTTTGGATTTTTTTCAAGTTTATTTCAATACAACACTCTGATCCCGTACATATGTTAAAAGAGCCTCTGTAATCATCTCTCCTGTTCATTCTGGCCATGAAGTGATAACGTCATGGAGCAGCTAAGAGACAGGAGACAAAAATCCACACCTCTTGGTTTATGCACAAATGCATTCTAAAGTTCAGCCAAAGCTAATATGTGGCTTCAGCTAAGTTACTGTTTGCCAAATTGATTGATTTTTTTGCTGATCTGTGGCAGAGGAAAACGTCCTGGTGTTAGCATAAAGGTTTGTTGCCAGAACAAACCACAGGTAATAAACTTACATATGACTGCCAGGACGAAGGCTGATTTGATGACTCTTAGACTGCTGAAGCCTCCGATTAGTTGTGACTGAACTTTAGAATGCATTTTTGAACAGCACATACACATATTTTGTAACCCATTTCTTAAAGTGTATGGGCTATACAAAGGTATTGCTACACAACTTGTATGAACAAGAGTCATTTTAACACTTCCAACATATGACATAGAAAGACTTGACTTGAAAAAAATCCAAACTCCTAGGAGTCTCCTTTTTATGAGGAATGGCAGCTGTGCACAGGTTGAAATCCGTGTCAGTCACCGTGGTTGGTCGTTCACAGCAGGAAAAAAAAAAAGTATTGTGGCCATAGAAACTTCTCAACAACAACTTTACAGTGTAATCCACCTCTTCACTGTTTTGCCAAGGCTGCATATTTAGCCATATTTTGTTGAAACTATAATGAGAATTTGGAACAAACTGACAGCTGAAAAGTTACTGATTCATCAGTCATTTTCTCAATGACGACGCTAAATTTGAAATTTAGACGTTGTAAAAGAGTTCCGTATTGACACTGGGACTGTTATGTAGAGAGCACAGTAACTGATATCAACCACCAGGAGGCACTGTAAAGTGAAGAAAAGGAGTTGTGGGATTATTCCATAAATCAGAAGCACTATTGTGTCACTAATGTCCCTTTACTTTTATCATTCTGAGCGTGTCTATCTTTATCTGACTAGACTGTGCATTGATTTTTCTAGAGATTTAATGGTCCCTTCTGCACTCTTAATGATTTTTTAAGATGTTTTCTTCTGATTTTTCTGCTAGAAAAAGCCATGCCATATGTACAGATTGTAAGGGCTTTTTTTCCAGTTCTGTGATTGCACTGTGCAAAAGGCTGTATTGATTTTTTTTTTTTATGTCAAATGAATTGTTTTTTATTACCTTTTTTGTGGAATGTGAAATCTTTAACTTTTTTGGTTTGTACCTGACTTCCAGGATCTTCAGTATGACGGGGAAAATGTTTTTTGATGTAGATTGAGAGTGAAAACATACATAGAGATATGATATGGAGCAGCTTTAATTCCACATCAAAGTTGGTTTCAAACACACACACACACACACACACACACACACACACACACACACACACACACACACACACACACACAATTACAAAGGAATTTAATTCCATTGCCTTAACTTGTAGATGTATAGCATTGCCGTCCTTTTTTATAGTTTCCATCTAATTGCAAGTTTTGATGTCAGAATAAATTTCATTGCATGACTTTGATAATAGTACTTGTGTACATGAAATTAAATGAATGATCTCTTGCTTTAACTGTTAGTACTTGGTCCTGGAGTACCACTCAATGTGCATACTGTAATGGCTTTTTTTTTTTAAGGAGTCAAATTGCAGCTTTTCTGTGGGCATCCAATTAAGTGGACATTAACAGGAGTCTGTTGCTGGTAGGCAAAGAAAAAGAGCCTTAGTGCATCAGTGTTGATCAGCTGGTGGTGGTACATAATTGTTTGTTGGTAGATCTGATAGAACAACATGATATGTTGCTGTGGCTTCAGGCACCCTTTTTTTTTTGTTTGTTTAATTTTTACTGATTAAGATGATTCGATCAATGTATTTATAAATTTGTCTCTAGGAAATGGTTTTTGTGAATCATTTTGTCTATTGAGGAGATACAAATGATATTTCTATGTCTGTTTGTTAAAGATAAAAAAAATAAATAAGAAATGCTTGATATCACCTTGTCATAAGGGTTTCAATTTTTAGTTTCAAGGGAAAGCTTTCTAAAACTATGGTTTCCATATTTTTGTTTTTCTTGAATCATGTTTTCATGCCTCACTAACCTTAAAATATGAATTAGAGACCAATTCTTTCAGCAGAATTCCCCATAACCAGTACTGATAGTAAATGGTGCTTTCTCCCTGTCCACCGGCATGTTGATTTCACAATTTCTTTCAAACTAATCCTGAATCTGTGATTAATTCAATGAGATTTCACTATATGCTATGGTGCTATGTGTGTCAGCAGGCCTGTGACAGGCTCCGGCTGCAGTGACCCTCCTGAGGCCAAACCACTGCCCCAGTCAATGTGGTGAGGCAGTCGCGTGGCACGCTTACAGCGCCTGACCTCCTTCGCCTCATCTCTCTCTCTCTCTCTCTATCCCTTATCTCTCAGTTCATTTCGGATTTACCAGTTTTTAATCTGTCACAATCTCTGGCTCACTCTCCATTCACCTTCACTTCATAGAGATATCACGTTTGTTTTTTTTTTCTTCACTAGCTAGAGGATTGTTTGCTAATCGTTTTTTTCTTGTTTGTGTGTATGAAAGGCAGATATATTAATTATGAAGGTCACTCTTTAATGGATGGCACTGTGGTTTGCTCAAAGCCCTGCTACAAAAATCACTTGCTAATGCTGTTTTAAAAAAAGATCTGTCTAAAGTCCCTGTGTCTGAAACCCACACAATCCCACATCCTGCAACAAGTCAGTAGTGTGTGGCAACATTATACAGCCACACTGATGTATCTGTGCACCCAAACCCTGGCGATGGGATTTATTGTTCTCCAGCAGGCCTGAGATTAAAAGGCTTTGTACTTCCGGTCATTATGTCAGAGCCCTTTCTATATTTACACAAAAATGTCTGTTTAATAATTGAAACAGTCACTATGGCTGTTGTATGGAAAATCTCTCAAGATCTTCTGTTCAAAGATTGCATTCCAGCATTTAAAGAGGTGGCAGTCTGGTCATTATTAAGTCATGGCAGGGGAGGAAAATCCCCTAATGTGACAGTGATGCAGTCCACCCACCAGAGCTTAGAGCTGTGGTCACTGGCCCATCTGTCAGGCTTGGTCCAGGATGTTTGTATAGACAGAGAGAATTTATCATTCTAACACTACAAACAGATCCATATTTAGCCATTCAATTTAGTTTTAAGACTTTTCTTCAAATGAAAAAAAAATACTATTGTGGTGACATCTTGTTAAGTCTCAATGTTAATCATCTTTTGTAAAGAATAAATCGAGCCATATTATCTTCATATTGATTGGGCAGAATGCGTTTAAGAGGCTGTGACTCGCTTTGTAAAAAGGCTTTAAACAGCTGCATTGGAGCACAGCCCAATAAGTCTGTGAGGGGGGCCTGGAGGCCTGATTAATTCCTTGTTCCTCCCCCTCTCTGTGCAGAGTGTATGTATTGCTATGCTGGAATAATACATGCCCCCATGTTTTCTGTGTGTACATTTGCATAGAAACAAATTAATGTAGGAGTATGCATCATGTACTGTAAACACAATATGAGCTCAAATAATAAAGGTCTTGTGCATTATTCCCCTACTTTCAGACAAAGTTACAATCGATTAGATTACCGCAAACCAATTACTACACAGTGAATGTGGAGCACCCACTTTGCCCGAGTTGTGAACCAGCCTTATACTGGGGACACGTAAAATGACTGCTTCCACTGGCAAAGTTCTTAACATGTAAAGTGCGTTGTTTAGTGGCATGTGATTTTCTGTCTGCTTTTCTCTAATAACTGGGAGCAACCAAAAAAAGCTAAATAATAATAAAGCAAAAGTGTATGTGTGCTGGATGGTCAGTAAATCCCTCCAGATTGTAGGGCTTCCTGCCCGTTAAACTGCAGTGTCTTGTTCTCCTCTTGTACATGTGTTAAATACAAAAGATGTGATGTGTGGGTGTGGATGTTGGCGGTGTTCGAAGGCCAACGATGAAGCTGATAACTGAGTAACAAAAGTAAAGCAATGATTAATGCTGAGTAATTTGTAATGTCATTACCTTTTCAATGAGTTGTGTATGATGAATAATTGATTATAGTTTTCAAGTAACTTGCCCAACAATGCTAAGGAAATAATGAAACTGTGTTGTATAGTGAGGTTCAGCAGGGGCCTAAAAAACAAAATTTTCCCCTGGGCCCTTACATGAGGTTAATCCGGCCCAGGTCTAAACATCCAATTTCCCCCAAAAAGAAACTGTGACTATAGAACAAATCTTTTAAAAACTTGGGTCATAAAGACAGATATCATCATGTCAAAACCGAAATGTTTTTGTGTGATTGTGAAGCATTTGACATCCATCACCATCCAGGCCTCGGAGCTTGGTCAAAATCCTACAGTGGTCACGTGACTCCGGATGAGCCAGATTAACGGCTCTCTGTTTGCCAGGAGTGCACTTGCTGAAACAGGCGAACACCGACTCAAACACACGCTGGATGTGGCGATCCTAGCACCAAGGACGCCAACGATCCTGTCTTTTTCGGACCTTGCAGACTTGAATAATTCATTTTCAGGAGCATTCATGAAATAGCTTGAAATTCAGAGCAGGATAAAAAGATGATTTCGCCGTGGGACCGGTGGTACTCGACGAGCTGCTGCCTTTGCTGCCATGTACGGACGGGCACCATTATTCTGGGAATATGGTATATGGTAAGTCAGATTTTTGAACATTTATCATTCGGTGTCAGGCCTAAATGTCTTTGAATATGGCTAAAATGTGGAATGTGCGATGAAATATATTATACATATCAAGTGCCATTGAGTTTTACAGCAAAAAAGCTAAGTTAGCTAGCTGCTGTTTTCCATTTGTTTTTCGGCTCTCATTTTTGACTTGCCATTTTGAGGATGTCCTCGGTTATAGACCAAAGTAATACATTTAAACTACAGTGCCTGCTAACTGGTCACCAACATTGCCAGTGAAGACTTCTTTCATGGCTCTTCTCTTATATTTTAATCAAATCGTAACGTATAAAAAATATAAAACATACTCACAATTTGTGGCCATGTATTTACTTTCCCTTTAAGCTGCACTTTTTGTTGTGTTGGAATGATCACTTTACCAGCCCATCCCATTTGATCTGTCCTACATTTGTACCGGTTAAATATAGGGTTTGCTTCTGTTTTTACCCACGGGATAACCTAAAGTTTTAAACATAGTTCAGTAAGCCTCGTAAATCCCTGACCTTTAGTAAGCGTTAGCCCCCCTCTCTTTTTTACCTCACTACTACAAGTGTATGTCGTCAAATGGAGCAAAGGGCAGAAAAAGCAACAAATGCCTTTACAAATACGATGTTTTGACGTGAGTTTAAAACTGTGATAAATAAGACTCATAAAGTCATTTTGTTTCTAGAGATGCAGGTTGGATGAATGCTGCAATGACCCATCCTATGACCCTGTATCAACACCAGTGTTTCATACACCAACATTAGATCAATTTTTTTCCATTTTATACCATTTTAAGTTAGATTTTGATTTTGTTCAATAAAGCAAATCAATTGAATGTCACCACAGGCTCTAAGAACTATTCATTTTCATGTTACAGGCTAAACTATTAAGCCAAAAATTGACAGAGGCATATAAGTAATTGTTTGTTGTGGCCCTGATCACCATATAATGATGCTTCGTTACAGTTTTGTCTTGCAGATCTATGTCAGCAGTTGGCCTGTATCATATCTTAAAGAGTAACTAAATTCAGAAAGGTATTAGTCTTTTCGTCCCCTGTAGTTACTTTTTAATTTGAATTACTTTTACGCTACACTACAAAAAGGCCCAAGCATCATAAAAGCAATTTCCGAAAGGATAATAAACTAACTAAGTATCTGACGGTTAACTCAAGAATGTAAAAATTGGTAACTCAACTGTGAAATATAATATTAATTGAATAAATTTCATTTCCCCACAGCTCATCAATGCAGTGGTTCTACTCATCTTGTTGTCGGCTCTCAATGACCCAATTCAGTACCGCTACCACCTTACCAGCTCTGAGCTGGGAACTGACATTGATGTCATGGATGATGCAAGTGAGTGCAGCTAATCCCCTCATTGTTACATGTCTGACTTGGTATAAATTGCCTAGTGGTATGGTAGATTATGTGAGGATGTCTCTGTTTATATCGCTGTAAACTGATTATCTTTGGGTTTTGGACTGTTGATCAGACAGAAAAAGACACTTGACGATATTACCTCTGCAAAACTGTGATGGGTATTTTTCGTAATTTTCTAAGAAGTTACAGACAAGACAACTAATTGAGTAATTGAGAAAATAATCCGCAGATTAATCAAGAATGAAAATAATTATTTGTTTCAGTTGTTTTCTACTATTCATCCCACCCATTAAAGATGTATCACTGCAGATTTGCTTTGAAGGCTTGCTTTGTTTTCTAGTTTAAGATTTCATCTAGATGGTATGTCACTGCTTTTTTATTTCTTTTTAAACAATAATTTCTTATTCTCAATAATCCATTTACAAAAATTCTTATTTTGCCTACTCTCTCAATACTCCTGGATAATGCGCTATTTTTGAAAACATGTACTAGAATAATTCAATGGATGGATCATTTAAATATTGAACCAAAGTTTAACATAAGTAATAAAGATTAAAAGACAAATTGATTCTACAGTTAGGGGTGGAATGGCTGAAACATCTACATTATGTTTTGTCCGTAAAAAAATCCCAAAACTGTGACATTGGTATTTCCTTTAGTGCATTCATTTGTTTCCAGCACAGATGCAGCTGATATATCTACTTTAAATGAAGAAGCGAATACTACAATGTTTTAGCATCAGTGTCAATGTTTATTAAAGACAACTAGTGATTATACACTTGTTTAATATTTATTTAATTCCACTTGAAAAGTCTGAGTTAAAACGTTTGAAATTTTAAATGAGAAATGACTATGAACAGTAAACACTGAAGCTGTATCAAGATACCGCATCGACTGGAGTCCTAGACAATATCAGTATAAAGTTTGAAGGCTCAGTAACAATATTCTTTGGATGTATTTCCAAGCTCTGCCAGAGAGAGCTCATTAAAATCAGCAGCATGTCCATAAAGCCCATATTTTTCATCATCTCTAAAATCACCTCTCCTTTCTGCCCAGCACTTCTTTACCCAGAATGCTGCTCTCAGTACAGACATGGCTGAGTAGGCTCGGCACCATAGTAAACAAATCAGAGTGCATGTGTATTTTCAGTGCTTCCCCTCCAGCAGCTATCATCATCACCGTTGCCTCTGGAACGCCACAGACCCTGTCACTGGCTACTCTGATTAAAAACGACTGCTCCAATTCTCCGTCGGATTAAAACGGCCATCTTGACTGACTCCCCCTCAGATGGCATTGTGCTGCATCAGTCAAAGATTGTGAAACAGTGGGAGAGGATGGAGACAAGCTGTTGTCATGGTTTTGTAATTGGCAGGTGTCAATAGTACCAACACCATTGTGATCATACGCAGGAAATCCTGAAATTAAAACTCAGATGTGTGGATGATGTAGGTGGGAGGTGAGAGGGATGGCAGTGCATTTATGTGTGCATGAATTGTTTATATATATATATATATATATATAGTATGTGTGAACATGTGTGTCTGTGTCTAGGGTATGTGGAAAAAGGGATTAAGATGGAGGGGCATCATCATTTCCTGGGTCTTAACGAAGTATCAGCACTGTAATAATTACTGTTGCCGAGTGTAAGGGAAAGCTGACAGTCATGGTGACATACAGTGGTTGCATTCACTTTTTCGTGTTTTGTATTTTGTAAAGTCGTGGACGGTGTTACGTTTTCATGCAAAAAAATGCCACCAAGAATTACCAGAGGTGCATTGAGTCCAATGTTTTCTCAGGAACCACTGAGTCTGATAACCATGTTCAGTAACTGCCAATACTGCATAGTGATCTGGGATTGTTTTCACCCAACTGGGCATGTGTCTAATAATGTCCTGTCTTGGTTTATAGTGTCTCATCAGTCACTTTCACAGCTGCAACGTGAATGTGAGAAGGGTGTGAAATTTTGTCAAATTTAGCACCTCTTGCATAACAATTATCCACGTGTTGATCATGTTTTATCCGAGGCAGATTGGCTGCTAAAAATAGTGAGGTTACTGAAGGTGCTTTGTTTATAAATCCATGTTCCCATAAAGACTTTTGGATTACATCAGTGGATTCAAGGTTCCAATGTTGTTACGTGTTTTTTGCTGTTTTTTCACTGGTAAACTAGATTATCTGTTCTCACATAGTTCTGTTTGTCTGTGTTTTCTCTCTGCAGATATCTGCATAGCCACTGCAATATCCCTACTCATGATTCTTATATGTGGCATGGCAACATACGGTGCTTACAAGGTAAACAAACAATAGGAATGAGAAATGTTTGTAAAAAAAAATATATATATTGATGGTCTGACATGATCAGTAACAGATTCATGAACTTAATAAACAAACTCCTTATGCTGCTAACCTTTTGTCAATCTCTCCTGTAAAGCAACATGCTGCTTGGATCATTCCATTCTTCTGCTACCAAATCTTCGACTTTGCCCTTAACACACTGGTAGCCATTAGCGTGGTGGTTTATCCCAACACAGTGCAGGACTACCTCCAGCAGCTGGTGAGGACCATTTCACTCTTCACAACTAAAACAGCTATCTATATGACTTCCATAAAGCAGGTTCAGGAGTTAGTTCTGCATCCATTGAGCACTGCTAAAGATGGAAAAAGGCTACCCAGGCATGAAGTTATTCAGATTCAGACTCCATTTTGGACTGTTTGCTTGTCTATTACTTAAAGGTTTTGTCTGATTTGAAAAAGGCCACTTTGTTATTCTCTGTCTAACATGCCTCTTTCACTGATTTTTGTTTTGGTCCTGACATTTATTTATTTCAATTTATCTTCTTCCTTAATTTATCTTCTTCTCTCTACCTGTCTTCCTTCAGCCGGGGACATTCCCTTACAAAGAGGACATCATGTCCACCAACAACATGTGCCTAGTTTTTGCAGTCCTTCTCTTCATTGGCTGCATCCTTTCATTCAAGGTAAGCCTGCAGATTCTCCTAATCTGCACTAGCTTCGGCCTTTTTTGGCTTTGGCAAACATCCATCTGAATGATATCTAAAACTATAGGAATAGAATGCATAGAAAAAGATATACGCTCACAACTTTTTTTTTTTCTTTTCAAAATGATCACCTATCAACAAATCTAGTGTCTATTTGGACAAACCTTAGCTACTTTCTCTGTCCTTCCCGCGAACATGAGGTGACACTTTTCTTCTGCAGACAACCCTCTCCATGCCCCTCATTCAGCTTCCAACTTTCTCTCTGATCATTATAAAGTAAATGTAGTTGAAATCACAGCATCGTCAGACGACGTCACTGTCATAAAATCAGGATTTTAGCAGTGCTGAGCAGTAGCTTGGAAATGACTGCTTGTTAACATGTGGTCTTAATGGGCTGTGTTTCAGTCACTTTTTTATACTTGTTCCATTGTCTGACAACAGAAACAAAAACATATAAATGGGAACAGTTTTATTGGGAGTTCAGCTGTATTAAGATACTGTATATGTGAACACAGAGAGTAAGACAGAAGCACACAGATAAAGGGCTGAAACCGGCTGACACTAGGCAGACTGCAAATAGCCTTTGACGCGATACAGCCATATACTGGGTTTTGATCTGTTCTTGTTTATAGATATGCTCATCATATTGCAATCTGATTAAAGCAATTAAGTTTAACACTGCACACATCTCATAGCAGTATCTGGCATGTACAATGAATCTGTCACTGTGAACGTTTCCATTATCAATGTTCTTCATGAGATTATCACGCAGTTAGAGAGCAGCGGGTCAGGGACAACAGGAAACCAACTCCTGTCAAGCTAATTCCTCCTTAATGCATGGATGATTCTCCAGGCGCAGCTATGCTCTGGGGCTCTGGAACGAGATGGAATATGAAGTTGCAGTCATGTGTACAATCAGATCAAGTTGTTTCTCCTTTAAGCTCAGATTGGAAATGTTCTAGGCAGATATCCAAAGCCAGAGCTGGGGTTTTATGATAGGAAGCAGCCACTGGAAGACACACTGTTGGACTCGCAGAGAGAAGAGTTATAAATGTCACAACTCAGAGGAGGAGTGTAGAGTGTGTGCGGTAGTTGAACTGCTTATTGCTCCAAAATTCAGAATTAAAGATCAAATAGAGATGTGTCCTTGCTAAGTCCTTGCCAAGCAAAATCAATAGAGCCCCTTTTTTTATCGAAGAGCTGCATATACAATACATTTGCTACTGTTGCCTATAGTGATGATAGTTAGTCAGTCTGCTGGGAAGAGGCCAGATCTGAAAACTCAAGGATGCACCCAGATCTCAGAACAGAGGCAGCACCTGCTGAAGGTCCTGCAGAAGCCAACATCCTCCACTCGACTGCATTTGGCATAAATGACAGATATAGACAGACAGAAAGAAGTAGAGCTGAAGAGAGAAAAGAGGGTAGATAGGAGGAGAGGGGATGTGGCAGATATAAAAGTGTAAATAGATAGAAGCTTGGATGAATAAAAAGAGAGACAGTATGACACACTAGAATGTAAAAGGGCAAGATGGACAAACTCGGACATCGTAGCACAGCTAGAACGTTGCCTCTCTGATACAAAATGCTGTTGTACCTCGCAAACAAAATGTTTCAGGGACAAAAAAAATCTAAAAATGTAATGTTTGTATCCTGTAGATTGCAGACTGTTGAGTCAGTTAAACAAAATAAAACTTACTGGAGAGTGAACAATAAGCTGAGGTATTTACCTTTTTAAAACGACAAACAAAATGTTGTTTTATTTGATCAAAATAACAAGTTGAACTGGATCTGCTACACTTAGCTGCATTATCATCATTACACGTTGTGTTTTAAAGGTATAATTGTGCAATACTGTGCTGCATAGTGGTTAAGTTGACCTCAGTTTAGAGTTGGTATCACAGTGAGGAGGTCAACTCAGCAGATGGTAAAGTGATTGGCTAGCAGTCTGTCTGGCGTCCTGGTTGGTTGGTTGCTCTTACTGCTGGCAGAGGTACCGACTCAGCAGGCTACTCACACATACACACAATGAACCTCCTGTTCTTCTGCCAAGTCAGCCAAACCTAAACCTCAGTGCAGGCATAGCCTTACTGAAGCAAGAGATGCCTGTTAAGTTGCTTTTGGTAAAATGTTGGAAATGTCCAACCATTAAATTGTCTTATGTTTATACAGCTGAATTGAATTGCCATGTGCCCTTACCTGTCTTGATGCTCACGAAGATACCCGTTATATCACAGTCTTTATGAAGTGTTGATATGATGCATCACTGCTGTCATCATCCCTAACCTTGATGAATGGATGAGATCATAGCAAGCAGCATCAGTAATAATGAAAAGTGGAGACGTGTACGAAATCTTGGTAAAGGTCATTGTGTGTTCTTTGTTTTCATGGGGACAGGCCTACCTGATTGGCTGTGTGTGGAACTGCTACAGATATGTGAGCGGCAGGGGCACCACAGAGGTCCTGGTTTATGTCACCACCAACGACACCACGGTGAGTCCTCACATCCACCTTCCAGCTCCTTACCTCAAGGACATCCTGAAACCCCCCCCCACACACACACACACACACACATCCTGGGCTCATAATATAATTGCATTTGCACAGCATAGATTTTTTTTTTTTTTTTTTTTTTTTTTTGCGGTTTTGGCTTACAAGCTTTGATTCATTAGAGGTAAAGGTTTTGAAAAGTCATTGTCATCACTATGCGTAGCACTTTAACTTTAATATGGTGTATCAAATGCTAGGCTCAACTGCTGAGGTTTTACCTAACTCTACTAAAATATAGACTATATTCACTTTTTTATGTTATTGCAGTTCAATGAGTTGATACCTCTTAATGTACAAGGTAAGGTTTCTGGGTATTACTTGTAAAATCATCATTCTTGTAGAGCTGGAATTGTGATTAGAGCAGCAATTTAGAATAAAAAATAAACATTTCATTTTTAAAATTCTCAAAAACCTCATTAACCTCAACCTACTTGAGAACTTAAAGACATTTAACGCAAGAAAATGGGAATGATTTTCTATTCAGTGTGGGAATTAATGTTTTCTGCATTCATAGATGCCACATTGCTAATGAGGAAGAAGTACCACCGGCACCTCACAGCCAATGTAATGTGATTAAAATTTTATTGACTGTTTCAAAATAAGAAAAAAGAGAAAGATAATTGATCTGTTTGAATCTCTGTTTACATTCTGTATATTAAAAATGACCCAAACCCAAATTAATTTGAAAAAGTATTTTCAGAAAGTATTTTATCCCACGCCTCGGTATATTGCGGTCATCAGGTCATTCCACATGTCAAATAACTTTTCCATTTCCAAGTGGTTCAGGTTAGTGTGGTCCTGCTACTAAATCACTAGAATAGGTATCATGTCACAGTCTCCACATACATGAACGGGTGAAGATACTATGTGTAGTATTTTAATCATTAATTAATTCTTGCCAAAGCAGAAATTAAATGAGAATGAAACCGACAGGTAAAAATGTTTGTACAGGATTTGCTTATTATTAAGATAAGCAAGAAATTATTTAAAGTGATTAAATGAATGATTAAATCCTACACATACAGTGGGGAGAACAAGTATTTGATACACTGCCGATTTTGCAGGTTTTCCCACTTTCAAAGCATGTAGAAGTCTGTCATTTTTAGCATAGGTACTCTTCAACTGAGAGTAACGGAATCTAAAACAAAAATCCAGAAAATCACATTGTATGATTTTTAAGTAATTAATTTGCATTTTATTGCAAATTAATTACTGTATCACTGTATTGCAGAAGTAAATTATAGTAATTCATAGAACCCCCTATATTTTTTTTTCTTGGTAGTATATCATAGACACTGGTAGAATAGTATACACTCTGCAGTGTATATACGTGGTTCAGTGAGAATGTCCAGGCTCCAGATTCTTCCGTTGAGCCGTCTAAATATCCCAGTGTTGTCACCATACACTTTGTGTTCAGTTGTGTGAGAGTCAGTGATGTGACATTGGTGGTGTTGGTCACAGTGCAGTAGGCACTGTAGGTCATCCTTAGGTGGGGTTGGCCGGCTGGCCAGCCGTCGTCGTTGATCCCTCAGTGTTCACTCAGGAAGCTTCTCAGAGGCTTTAGCATAGTCATGGTTTCCATTTGTCTGTCTGTCTGTAATCCTCCACACTGATACATAAGACATTAATCTGTCTCACACCCGCTGTCGTCTCAATACGTAGCACTTCATCTGTCTGTCACTTTGTCCTTGTGTTGTCGAGGCCCTGGTTCACTGCTGACGTTTCTCACCTTATGAAACAGACTCTACAGGCAGGAGCTTATCCAGCAGGCTCTGGTATCATATTGTGTATCGTATGGCCTTTGAGCAAATATTGAGTATGTGCCAGTCTGTTTTGTCCACTGCAGATATGATGGAGGGCCAATATGAAAGGAAAGAAGTGTTTTCCACAGCCACAATTTGAGAAGAAAAACTTAATACATTTGTCATCAAAACACTCTGTTTAAAAAAAAAAAAAAAAAAAAAAAAAAAAAAAACTGATTATTATAAAACTGATTTGTAAAGAATGGAGATAATAAAACGAGATCAATTTATGTGGATTAGCAGTTAAAGTGGAAACAGACAACTTTTCGACTTTCCCCCTTTTGCGTTTCCAAGTGGTATTACTGTTGGTGCCACTGTTGCAAGGCCAGATCCCAACATGGCTACAGCTATCTGCCAGGCAAAGCAAGAAACAACCCCAATCTTAGTGCTATGATAAAGGCAGAGAAAAACAATCGGTTGTATTAATAAGTAGGCTTCAGTTCTGAATCCTCTCAAGTCTCGGAGCTCTGTGGTTGGACTGGCCATCAGGACTACAGGGACAAATTCCAGTGGGCCGTGGCATCTGTGGGACCATAAAATCACAATCACCTGAATTATGAATGTGTTTGTGTCTGTCCTGCTTTGTGATGGGGATTTGGACAGTGCCTGACGAAGATCTCCAGTAGACCAAATCATTGCTTTATTAAAATTGCTGGGAGCTATACAGTAAGCACAGTGTGCTGATCTTTTGTCTGACTAACTAAGTTTGATTTTTGACCCAGCACCCATGAAAGTTTTTTTTTTTTTTATTATTATTCTTTTTTTAGATGTGCGTGCTTTATATCCTGTTTGTCCATCGCAAAAAAATCCATAAAGCATTAACAAACCCTGTTAGTCTCTGTACCAGCCCTTTCTGTGTGCCTGTTGTGAACAATACAGTATTAGATTATTAAAATGGAGTGTAAAAAGCAATAGAAATCTTTGTACGTTGCTTTGAGAAAATAATTCTTTTAGATGAAAAAATGAGCTAGGCAAAAATAAATAGAAAACTTTTTAAAATTAAGTTTTAATTCCTTATTCCAGTTGATTGGAGGTCAAAAGAAAAGTGTGAAGCTGTATATATATTACACTCGGCTTTATTTATGTATTCATTAGTTTTAAATGATTTGATAACCTTTTACTGCCTTTTTCCAGTTTCAGGGCTCCACATATAATGAATAAGAATTAATTAATTAATTTTAGTTTTAGAAATAAAATGTGTCATTAAGATATGGTTTTAACCACGTTCATTAAATTACACAATGAAAGAAATTAAGTAAAAGAAAACGGCAAATTATCTTGAAAATATTGAAAATGTCTTTTGGACAGAATCAATTACATAAAGGTTGTGTTGTAACATTTGTTATTATTAGTTAGTTAATGGAAACAGAAAATTAGTGTTATAGTGTATAAATGTATTCTAGAAAATCAACTGTTTATCCAGATTAATTCAGAAAAAACTTGGCATGTAAAAAACAAAACAAAATAAAGCAAACAGCTGAAGCAAGTGGGTCAAAGTGAAGGCCACAGAATAAGCTGTGTGAATTTTAATTAGAGACTTATCAGGGTACAGATAGAATCTAGATGCAACAAATATCTGTGGCACATGGTTTAAACAGGTTAAATAGCTTTCAAATCGGCCTGAATACTGATGATATGGTTTTATTCATGGCGTTCCCTCTCTCCACACACGGTGGTGAGTGAATCGAGTGCTCCATCTATTTTTACTATTAGAAAGCCGGCAGTGTGTCTAAATGGCTTTTTACAGCCTCGAACATCAAGTACCCAGCTGCTTATCTGCCCTGCTTTTATATAAATGCCATTAAAATGCACAAGGGTCGTCTCTCTCTCGCTCCCTCTCTCTCTCTCTCTCTCCTCCCTCCTCTCTCTATATATCTCCGTCCGTCCCCCTCTCCTCTTCTGGACATGTTACATAATAGTCTGCTTGTCCGCTTCATTTCAAATCCTCCCTGTGATGTGTTTGCCGGGCCTCCCTGGCTATTTCACAATTCCATCCCCTCCGAGAATATTCTCTCTCTCTCACTGAATTAGCAGCAGGGCTGGTTTTATAACGCCATTTACAGAGAAAGACCTCTGGTAGAGAGAAAGCAGTCCAGCCTGTAGAGCACAGGGATGTGTTTGTGGATGTTGTCCTTTCAGCTAGTAATGCCTTCTATAGGGATGGAGTATAAAGAGCTTGAAGGAATCGGGCAGAAACATGCAACAGTGACTAAGGCTGTGTCTGAAATCGCTCCCTGTTGACTATACTGTGAACTAGTTTTACTGTCTGAAATTTCTACACACCGTAGCTCCCTTAGAAATTCTCACAGTAGAATGAAGAAAGATGTGTCCATGTCCAGCATGTAAACTACTCAAATGCAAAATGATGATTTATAGTGTCCAAACGCTCCTATACTGCTCACTATGGATAAATTACTGGGAGGGATTGGCGAATGAATTCAGCTTTTCTTTTATGAGAGTATAATTGTGTTTTTCTACTTTCTAGCAAACATAATTCACTTTAATTATCAAAGCTGGAATTTAAAGCTAGCAGCTACAACTTCTTGTGAAATAAGGTATATGTAGAATTTAAGCATGGATGGTAATTCTTTGTAATGTAAGCTCCAAGCTTCAACCACATCTCAAAGTCTTCTTTCAGCAATGGAGTTCTCAATGGAGATCTCAAGGATAGCCAAATCTTTTCAATCATTTACTGATATCACCAATTCAGGAAAATTAAATGTTTTACAATTGTCACTACTGAACCCTTTCTAACAAACAGCAGAACAGTATAGAGGATGTATTTGAGCTATGAGGTTTAACTGAGCCTCCTTTTGGTTCTCTGTTACATTTCAGGTTCTGCTGCCACCATACGAGGAAGCCATTGCCATTCCACCCAAGGAGCCTCCTCCCCAATATATGGAGGCGTGAGATACATCCTCACTGCTGGACCCTATACCCCAAACACCCCCCTACCCCCCCAAACACCTCCAACATCTCTCTCCAACAGTAGGACCCTGGAAACTGGCTGGGACATGTTGAAAAACCAAGAAAAAGCAATGTCTTAGATGCTGGTTTCAGCTTGGATTCCTGCCAATTTTAGATTAGATTAGGCTGACCCTGAGCCAGTATTGCCATCAACTCTCCACCATCGCTCCTGGTTGTTGTGACGTATTCTCCTCCCCTCTCGTCTCCTCTGTCCTCCTCATAGGACAGTATCGCAGCAACTTTGAGACCGCTCCCTCTTGGCAGCTGCTGTCCCCTGGCAGCATCTAAACTCTTGCACGCCCTGAACACTCTGTCCCAACTTAATTTGCACTTTTCTTTGAGTGAAACGTGCACCCACCGGTCTGGCCACCAACTGTTAACCCCCAATACTGTGAATCTCCCTTGTGGTCTTTGTCTAGAAACAAACTACCTGAAGAGAGATAGCGATAGAGAGAGAGAGTGAGAAGGAAAGCGACATACGTGATCAGTTATGCAAGAGCACTTTTTTCAGAAATTGACAAATTTCCTTCATTGAATGTAATGTTGGGGTATTTTTGTATGACTTTTTTGTATAACAGTAAAAACTGAGAGAAAAAGAAGTGAATAGGAAAGGCTGTCCTGTTGTACTGATGTAGCTCGTCCTGCAGGATATCGTATTGAAGAAGGTTCCTTGACCAATAACAAATACGTCTTCCTTTTGTATCCATGTAACACACTGTCTGTAAACCTGTAACCCGTTAACTGCCAGTGAAAACCTTGTTCACCTATTGATTTCAATCACAATCTATTCCAGTTTGCCTTCCTGCCCCTTTCCTGAACTGCTCCGAGATCTCAAAAGACTGGCATTAATGTGATCATCCAGTGAAGCGAACACAAACCTAAATGTTTCACTCATTCACACACACTACAGATTCACATCGAAAAAGGCATTACACATAAAAAGTCCAATGTGTAAACGTTAATGAGTGAATATATTTCAGTAGAGACGTCTGTCTTGTGTCCCCGTTGAGTTGCACATGCAACAGCATTGACTGTGTCTTTTTTTTTTTTTTTTTTTTTTTTACATGGATTATAGTGTATAATCTGATCTTTTGAGTTGAGCTAACTTAGCTGGACTGAGGGCATTTTCCTATAAAGACAGCGTGACATGCTGCTGTACATGCAGAGAGTGTATGCGTGTCTATGTTTGTGGTTGTGTTTGTATGTGTGTGTCTGCTTGCTTGAGCGCTATGTGTGACATTATGATGTAACTTTTAGGTCCTTTATATGTAGTAACATTGTTTTTTTTTTGCACATTCAGTGACATCATTTTGAGATATTTCCTGTGCTGGTGACGTTTTTGACATTAATGATGGATGGGGATCTTAAAGCATTGATTTAGCATTGCATAGTAGCACAAAATCAATAAACAGTATGTGAAGCTAGTTAAACAGTGCAAATGCTTGTCTTTTGCCTTGAATTATTTAGGCAATCAGTTGAGCATTATTAGAAATAATAATGGAACACATAATAATCCTATTCTTTCCAATAATTCCCAAGTAGTATTTGTTATGAACGGAGAGAAAATAAATCAGAGTTACAGACTATGCAATAGTGCAGTCACAACTTGTTAGACCTGGAAATACATGTATACCATGAAGTAGTTTTCCATTTGATACTAATTCTGTAGTTGATAATGTATCCCTTTGTTGGCCCCTTCATCATTGTCCCTGTGTGAATTATGACCACTGCTTTTGCAAATCCAACAAAGCTGAAAATGAAATTGCACTTTAAAGTCAGCGTGAGCTCACTATAAACCGTTGTGTTTGTGTTTTCTTCATCGTTACCATGCTATGCTGTAGCCAAGTGATTCTAATATGATCAGCCGCCCGTGTCTGGATGATACAAGCTTCCAAAACATAACATCAACAAATCAGTATTTACACTGTGTGATGTGACTGAAAAGCTGCAGATTTGTGATGGAAGGGGAATTTTGAGCCGAGTCATTCGGGGTTTAGAGGAAAAAGCTTGTATCTGGACAAGTGGATGGCTGAAGCCTCATTTTATTAGAATCACTCAAGACTGTTCTCCATCGCTTTTCCATTCACACACATCCTCTTGTTGGATCTGCATGAGCTCATGTCTTCAATTCTGAATAATAAAAAGCGAAATCAACCTTTGTCTCCTGCTGGATTTCTTATGGAGTCGTTTTGTTTTGAGCTTTCATTGTCATCTTGAAAATAACATAATAAAAACGATATTGATGAGTTCACATACATTATGAAACATTTCAATCAGCTTGGGAGATGAAAACAAAAAACTTTTAATCAGGATAAGGCTTGTAGCAGTTCCTTTCAGTATGCTATTTATTTTAATATAAAGTATATATATAATGTTGCATTACTTTTTTTTTTAAAACTTCTCATTTTGCATACCACCAGAAGTATTTTCTAATGTTTGATGAATAGCAGTGTATTGTATTGATGGTCCAAATGTTTGCCATGACAGGGGAAATAAAAAATAACTTAATATTCAAGCAAGCTCAAAGATAACATTTAATAAAAAACTGAAAACTGAAACTGAAAAAATAAAATTAAACAAAAAACATGCAAGACCAGGCCAGATATAAAAAGAACAGAAAATTATATTAAAGCCCACCTCTTAAAACACTGGCATGATTTCTGTAACAATAATCTACTTACAATTACTAATTTAACTAACATTAATAGCATAATAACAGCATTCACAACACCAGGACCGTGAAAATGAAAACATTCTTCCCTTAAAGTGAAGGTTATGTGGTTGTTGGAGGAGGATGCAGCTGACAGTATGCCCGTCCTATTCAAATTACAGCGTGTCTGTGTCTTGTGATAGGGGAGTTGGCATCTTGGGAGAAACACCACTCAACAAAAATGAAACATCTCATAGGTTGAAATTGAGCACAGATGCTTACCAAGAGCTGACTGGATCGATTCAGTGCCAGGAAATTCATCCGAAGTCAGTATATAATCAGTATATTGGAGTTTTATTCACTTTAATTCAGACATTACATTCATCATATTTTCTCTGTTGTTTAAAACACAGGATAAATTAGTATAGTTCATACTAATTGTGCACTTTCTCTGCACATGGACCAGAAACAGGTCTAAACCTTGTTATTAGAGCATGGTCATTTATTCACAGTTCTTACAAGATTGTTCTAAGATCACATTATTATATATACGGTGAAGTTTCAAGAGTATGACTGTTCAAAAAAAATGGGTGTTATGCTGACATGCGTGCATCCTGCTGCCCTCAGAGATTCAGTGCTCCCCTCAGCCCAGTGCGGATGAACAAGCTGGCAGATCAGCAAGGATTTAGCCGCCTGCCTCAAAATGGAGGCTGGCATTACCTTGGGTCTGACAGTAGGCTACCAGACAGACACGCTCACCTACTTTCTGCCACTGGGACAGGGCAGGGGAGGAAACAAAAAACAAAAAAAAAACAAGTGGGTCACATTCTGACATTCTGTCTCTTTTCTTGCTGAAATGCTTAGTGGAAGCAGAAAGGGTTGTACAATGACTCAGCTTAAAAGAGGAGATATTTATGAAAAGAGGACATAAGAGCCAGAATCTGTTGGCAGAATTCATATGACCTGGATACAATTCAGATTGTCCTCTGAAATTTTCCTCACATTTTACCTTAGAGCAGCTTGTCAAAAGTAATACCTAATAGGATTTGTATGTACATTTACTGTGCAGCATTACAACTCGATACATATAATAAAACTGCTTGGTGTATGTAATTTTCTGCCTGTAATGACACTGCCCAGAGACAATGAGAGAGGTTTATGATCATTAATGAGAATATAAAGCACATGGCACCCAGTCAATATCCACTGAAGTGTAATTAATGTCACATATCATTTATGGTGAGAAATGTTCAATGATAAATTTACTATACTGACCAAAATGACAGTTAATTGCCTTGTGCTTAGTATTTTGGACTTTGTTTTACATAATAGGAAATAAATTAGTTAGCAAAGTTAACAATTTAATCTGCACTCAGCCAAAATGTAAAAAACCACACTAAATGAAATAAGCCTAACACAATAGCCTAGATATGTGAAGGGCTAGGGCTGGGGCTGCAGCGTGGCTCTCTATAGCTTTATTTCTATTATTGTGCAGATTGCTCATACTTGTTCATTCAGATCTTATTCTGTCACATCTTTATATATTGTCCTCATTTTGAGCAGGGCATCTGCTGCACGTGAAACGGATCATCTGGGATGATTTCATTCGATTTAATTGGGAATCAAGAAAAAGGCTTAGGGAAGCAGTGAGTGGAAAAACTGGGCCAAACCACTCGATGGATGATGGACGGCTTATATCTCTGTCACTGGGTAGATGCATCGGCCCCTGTAAGGCAGCAAACTTATGGCAAAAAGAATGAAATCTGATCGTGGCATAAATGGGATTGGTTTGTATTAGCGTACCTTGCCAAGAAATGATTCTTGACCTCTCTAACCATGGTAGTCAGTTTTCCAGGCTTTGCATGTAATGCACTCATTCATGCAGTGGCGAATTTAGATACGGGTGACGTGGGCAGCCGCCCAGGGCCGCATCTTGTCAGTGGGCGGCAGGGGGATTGCAAGAAGAAAAAAAATTGTTACATTTGCATGATCGCTTTTGTATTGCTCATTTGCACATCACGTCATTGACACAAGGGAGTAGGTTTGGATATGGATGGTAGGGACATGGCACTACCATATACATTTTTATGCCTTACTATATTATGACGTTTTTTTATACCTTACTATACTACGACTTTTTTTGACGTTTTTATGCCTTACTATACTATGGCGTTTTTTACGCCTTACTATAGTACAACGTTTTTTGACGTTTTTATGCCTTACTATACTATGCCTTTTTTTATGCTTTACTATACTATGACGTTTTTTCACATTTTTTTTTTTTCTTACTATACTATGGTGTTTTTTATGCCTTACTATACTATGGCATTTTTTAACCCTTACTATACTATGGTGTTTTTGACGTTTTTATGCCTTACTATACTATGGCGTTTTTGATGTTTTTATGCCTTACTATACTATGACATTTTTTTGCCCTTTTATATTCTGTCAT